GACTTTCTTTTCTTGTATCAAATAGTATATCAATGCCATGTTTGAAGGTGTATGCTTATAATTCTTAGGATTTCAAAATTTTGGATAAGACCATGACAAGTTGAGGGCACATTAGTTTTTTGATGAATTTGAAAACTTATTTCACCATAGTTGTATAATGAAATCTATCTTTCGAGTAGTTGAGTTGGCGGCCATAAGATGCTTATGATAATACCTTGTAATATTAAAGAACCTAGGTGGTACTCCAATTGATAAGTGACGTGACTTATCATTATATAATCAATCACATAAATTTAAAATTTATAAAACTAGGAAATACTAATTTTTAAGTATTTAAAAGTATTTATGAACAAATATATTAATTATAATTTAATAAAATATTTAAAAATAATGATAACTTTTCAAGTCAATCACATAGATGTAATATAATATCAGGTAATTTTTCATAATTGTACTTAAAGAATACAATTTTTTATAAATTTTATACTAAGAAATAAAAATAAAATATATTTAAAATTCACAAAAAAGAGAAATAAAGGTGTGGACATCAAGCTAACGTCAACACCTAATGAACGCAAATCAGGCAAAAATAGAATTCTGCTTTGTGATTCTTACGTAAGTAATTACATATGATTTAATTGATCAAATTAAGATCTATAAAAGTTAGAAGAATTATAATTGAATGAACTATACTTAGTAAATTTAAATCACATAAATTATCACTAAATGAAGTAAAAATTATATTGAAAGTGGGAAAACAAAGTTTTGATGTTGCGGTGGTGATGCGTCTACGATGTATTAAAATCTTGAGCATTCAAGAGGATCATCGTATAGTGTCCACAGCTTTGAAGACTCTCCTTAGACAAGGACAATATAGGTAATATCTAGATCTTCTTGAAAAGTCTAGAGATCAATGAAGTGAATCGTTGAATCATCTTCAGTAGTTATCACCCAATAGAGTAGAAAAATGACAACTTTGCAGCTCTTCAACAGTAGTCACCTGATAAAAAGGAGCTAGATGGAGGTAAGACATGTGTCAAGGAGCTTCATCCTCAAGTTCATGTAGTAAGAAAATGTTCTTTATCGCATCCAATATGTTCTTGGAGATGGTGACTCATCTTCCGATAGATCATCTTCTTTCCGACAATAGTTTGTTCGTGGATCAATTAGAGATAATTTACTTGATAGATTCGTGATATTTTTATCATGAATTATTTAGTAATTTTAGTAATAATACTTTGTAAATCGCATTGACGAGATTTTCGTCAATGATCTAACGATTCTAACACCTTAATCTTTCACCAATGACCTACAAGAAAGTTGTGATAATTAGATAAAAATACGAGTTTTGACTCTAGGAGGATTCAAATCCATGTCAGTTGTCCACCTATATGAGAGGCTTCGAAGGTATATCTTTTTATAACTAAGGGATAGTTTAAATATTAAAATCTTCGAAGCCTTTCAAGAGAAGGTGTGACATGGGCTTAGTCTCACATCGCTTGTGCTAAAGTTTTGAACGAATATATAGTAATATCACATTTGTAAGTAATCAATCTCTTTCTCCTATGCATACAATCACTCTTTATCTCACAACTGATTAGTCACTAGTGACGTAGAAGGGGAGTGACACACACATGCCCTCGTCGGTTCTAACCACTCAAGCCTTTACACATGGCTCCCCCGGACTACGCTTCTGACCCATTTATGAGTCTAATTGGCCAACATGTCTCCTCCTTTTGCTATATTTTTATTTATATTTATTTTTCTTCATTTATCTCAAAAATAAGATTATAAAAATCATATAAATTTATAGAAAACTACATAATTAGCTAAAAATTATGTTAATCAATTAAAAACTATTTTTTATAATTTAACATAAATACAAATCTATTTATCATAATTTAAGGATAAAACTATATTATTTACTAATTATTAACTCATAATAATGAAGATTTATCAATAAGTATGTAGGCAAATCATTCATTATTATTATCTTGTTCACATGAACTTCAACTCTTTATAATGAGACCTAATGACCAAGGAACTCAAACATTTGACAATTGAATAAGTTTTTCTTGACGTTAAGGTGGAGTTGGCACAACTTTAAATCTTTTCTATCAATGATAATAAGTCCAAAAATAATATATTTTGACAATAAGCCAACCATATAAATGACTAATAATTTAATGTTTCATGGAAGAACTAAACATATTGAAATTAGTTCTCATTACATTTGTGATCAAAGTTGCTGCAGATTTGATTGAGATGAAGTTTTGCTTAACAAAAAATCAAGTTACTAATGGGTTTATGGAGGCTTTAAATTATCCAAATTTTATCAAGTTTTTTAAAACATTTGATATCACCAGCTTTCCATCAGGATGTTGAAGATTGATGGCATGTTAGAAAAATTAGCTGTCATTTTTTACTAAAGTGAGCTGACCTGACCCGCTTTGTCCTATAGTCTTTTTTTATTAATTCTGTTGATACCCTTCTATTTCTCTCTCTCCTCCTACCCTTTCTATAGACTATTTATTCTTATTTTAATACTAAAGAGATTTTTTTCTCTCTCCTCGAATTATGGCTCACGTCCAGCCACTACGGGCCCTCTTTCCTTCTTCTCCCCTTCTCATTTTCTCTCCCATTTTGGCACAATTTAATCCCTCACTTCAGGTTTATATTCCTTCACACCCGCCATTATTTATCGGGAGTCTGTCCACCGTCCATCATCATCTGCCACCATTGGTCATTGCCGCCATCGATCGCTACTGCCACCGCCATTTGCCGCTCAATCCGCCATTCATCAGTCCAACTCAATCCGCCCATTTTCATCCAGCACGAACCATTCTGACTGTCTCGTACGCACAACCTGCCTCATTGGTCCCAGTCACTCCAGATCAGCCTAGTTCCAAGCCAGTTTGCACCACCGGTCAATTAGTCAATAGTCAACCACTATTCAATAGTCAATTATACGGTCAACACTCAAGATATCAACAACTTTCAACAATTGAGTTTCCAACTTCAGTGTGTTCCTTCACCACACAGTCGCCCATTTTGGTGCCAGGGTTATGGCTAACCCCTGTTTATTTTCAATTTAGTAATTTATTATTTAGTACATTATCTTCTTATATTTCTTGTCATGTAATCCCTGTATAGGTCCACCATTTCCATAGCTAGTGGTAAGAATATAGAGATAACCCACTTAATTTTCATCTTGTCAATTTGTTGATTGTGGGGCACTATAACTTTGAGGATTTCTTAATCGCAACTATCCATTTATTCAAATATTGTGGGGAAACACTCTATCTTACCTTAGTCAACTTTTTTATACTCATAAATATAATCTGAGAGTCAAGTATATATTACTTGTTTAAAATAGTTTAGTTATTTCTCTCATCATATATATATATATATACATACACACGGTACGAACGAAGACATTTCGAACAGAAGGATCGGAACTCGCTATATATATATAGATATATATATATATATATATATATCGAGAGAGAGAGAGAGAGAGAGAGAGAGAGAGAGAGAGAGAACATGGGGAGCGGTTCCTCTGAGTCTGTTAGTGAGCATCTTCCTTTGGATGGTAGTCCATGCTTTAGAAGACTAAGAGTGAGGGGTAGGAACGTGGGGAGATGAGGCAACATTGCAATTCACGCCCGCATAGGTGGTGGTGATCATCTGCTCTGTCATCGTCTTCAGTGACGCACAGGGTACAGAGAGAGATAGAGATAGATAGGAGAGAGGAAGAGAGGGAGAGAGAGAGAGAGAACGCGGAGCATGGCTCCTCTGAGTTTTTTAGCGAGCATCTTCATTTGGATGTTAGTACGTGCTCTGGACGACTGAGAGTGAGGGGTAGGAAAGTGGGGAGGAGATGGCTGGGGATGCCGAGGAGATGAGGTAACGTTGCAGGTCCCGTCAGTCTTCAGAGACCGACGGGGTTGACTCAGAGAGAGAGAGAGAGAAAGATAACGCGGAGAGTGGCTCCTCCGAGTCTTCTGGCGAGCATCTTCAATTGGATGTGAGTACAAGCTCTGGAAGACTGAGAGCGAGGGGTAGGAATGTGGGGAGGAGGTGACTGGGTTGACGGGAAAGATGAGGTACCGTTGCAGTTGCCGTCATCGTCTTCAGCGACCGACGGGGTTGACTTGGAGAGAGAGGAAGAGGGTGAGAGAGACAGACAGACAGAACACCGAGAGTGGCTCCTCCGAGTCTCCTGGTGAGCATCTTCATTTGGATGTTAGTACGTGCTCTGTGAGACTTGAGTGTGACGGGTAGGAACGTGGGGAGGGGATGGCTGGGGATGCCGGGGAGATGAGGTAACGTTGCAGGTCCCGTCAGTCTTCAGAGACCGACGGGGTTGACTCAGAGAGAGAGAGAGAGAGAAAGATAACGCGGAGAGTGGCTCCTCCGAGTCTTGTGGCGAGCATCTTCAATTGGATGTGAGTACGAGCTCTGGAAGACTGAGAGCGAGGGGTAGGAATGTGGGGAGGAGGTGACTGGGTTGACGGGAAAGATGAGATACCGTTGCAGTTGCCGTCATCGTCTTCAGCGACCGACGGGGTTGACTTGGAGAGAGAGGAAGAGGGTGAGAGAGAGAGAGACAGAACGCCGAGAGTGGCTCCTCCGAGTCTTCTGGTGAGCATCTTCATTTGGATGTTAGTACGTGCTCCGTGAGACTGTGCGCGGGGTAGGAACGTGGGGAGGGAAGGGGAGGCGAGGAAGATGAGGTAACGTTTCAGCTCACACCGACATGCGTGGCGGCGATCGTCTGCTCCGTCATCGTCTTCGGCGATTGACAGGATAGACAGAGAGAGAGAGAGAGAGAGAGAGAGAAAGAGAGAAACATCTATATAGATAGATAGATAGATGGAGAGAGACGGAGAGAGAACGCGGAGAGTGGCTCCTCCGAGACTTCTTGTGAGCATCTTCATTTTGATGGTAGTCCGTGCTCTGGAAAACTGAGGGTCAGGGGCTAGGAACGCGGGGAGTGAATGGCTGGGGGTTCCGGGGAAGATGGATTACCGTTGCGGTACACTCCGACATGGGTGTTGGCGATCGTCTGCTTCGTCATCGTCTTCATCTCGGTCTTCGTCGAGCGTGTCCTCCACTGGGTCGGCAAGGTATTCCCGCTTCTTGATGGCCGCTCCCATGGAGCACCAACCCACCCGTCTAGCTTCAGATACTGTGCAATATGTCTGTTGTCTGCCACTGTGAGGCCCCGTCTTTGGAGCGCTGGAGCGAAGATTTCTTCTGAATCTCATCTCTCTCTCTCTCTCTCTCTCTCTCTCGCCATTCCGCTGCAGTACCTGAAGAAAAGGAACCAGACATCTCTGTTTGAAGCTCTGCAGAAGGTGAAGGAAGGTCAGCGACATCTCCTCCCCACTTTTTTTCCCATAAAATATGGCGGTCCCATTTTCTTTTGGACGCCCAAGGCCTAATCTTCCTGTCTTCCATCTGCTGTGGGATCGCAGAGTTGATGCTCCTTGGCTTTATCTCACTGCTGCTGACGGTGTCCCAGAATTACATTCAGAAGATATGCATTCCTGGGAGCTTTACCCGTCACATGCTTCCTTGTAAGAAGAAAGACCTCCACTCCGTGTCCCCTTCTCACTATCAGGTTAACCTCTTCTCCGGCATCCTCGGGAGTGGCAGACGGCTCCTTGCCGGGGGCGGCGGATCCGACCACTGCGCCAAGAAGGTGCCGCCCTTTGAAAAACTTTTCCACTTTTTTTTTTATACCCCAAGGGGAAGCTCCTGACTTCGATTCGCTGTCGGTTCTTTTCTTTTCTTCTTTTTCTACAGGGAAAGGTGCCGCTGCTGTCTCTGGATGCCCTGCACAAGTTGCATATCTTCATCTTCGTTCTTGCCGTTACCCACGTCGTTTTCTGTGCCATCACAATGCTTCTAGGGATGGCGAGGGTAACTGCTAACCCCATTACAATTAATTACTTGTGTTCTTTAAAATCTTACTGGTTTGTGTTTCTTTCAAGATAACATGCAGTATGTATAATAATAATAATAATTTAATGTGTGAATTTCTAGATACGTCAATGGAAACGTTGTGAAGATTCACTTATGAAGGAAACAGGAAGCGAAAATGCTGCAGGTTTGTACTGGAGACTCTTGTTTTCTCCTCAGCTTTGTTCCATCGGAACTGTGGTCATACTGGATATTTATTTAAAACAAAACCAAGGATACTAAGTCGGTAGTAGCCCGGATCGATGCAACTCAAAGTCTAAGCGTGTGACAACTGAGAATTTTGAAAGATGAAAACGTAAAGGATAGATGCCACAATACAAGTTTTTTCTTGGAAAAAAATGATATGTATACTATTATCCACTGATTGGTGTATTTATTCTCTTTGCAGCGCCAAGAATCTCCGTTGTGAATCAGTTTGACTTCATCAAGGAGCGGTTCAAGGGCTTTGGGAAGGATTCTAAGATAATGAGTTGGGTGGTAAGTAGCCCATTTCTCAGTGGAAAATATCTGATTCTAGGTTGCGCGAGTCGTAATACTGATGGGCATATGTGTGTATCTACTCATATTTCCACTAGTAAAAAATGAGAGCTTTGTGTTGTAAGAATCTGAGCTCATGAATTTTTAGGTATCCAGTTCTTGGATGCACTTGCTAAGCATTTAAATTCAGAAGAGGCTGCCATCAGTTGTAGCATAAAATTTGGTTATTAATTGAGAAAAATGTTTATACAGCTTGTTTTATTATGGTTGCATGTTGTTTCAGCAATCTTTCTGTAAACAATTCTATGGATCTGTCACGAAATCAGACTACACCACATTGCGGCGGAGTTTCATTATGGTAAGCAAAAGGGAGCCCGAAGCTGAAGACCTATTTGGTCGTTGTCTGTCGCCCTCTTCTGCTTCCTGTTTGACCAACTCGTGTTCTCTCTCCCTAGACTCATTGCAGAGGAAATCCAAATTTTAATTTCCACAAGTACATGATACGCGTCCTGGAATCTGATTTCAAGAAAGTTGTCGGGATAAGGTACTTTGAGTGTTCAGTGGTTGAGAATTTTGCTACTAAATATTCTGCTGTGCATCTCAGCGCATCAAATAATATCGACCTCATTTTCCCTTCTTTTAGCATTCTATGTGACTCTATCCCTTCTGTGTTCTTGCAGTTGGTACCTTTGGGTTTTTCTGGTACTCTTTTTGCTGGTAAATGTCAAAGGTACTTCAAAGCTTTTCCGTATTTTGGTTTAGTTTATGGATGAATGCTCTTTCATATCATCTGAATATCTTATTTTTCTTGTTCAAAAAGATCTTCTAACTAGATCTGAATCTAAGGAATTCATTCTGAATGCATTTGTGAACTAGATCTGTTCATTCCATCAGTTTTCTGTTCATTTTTTTTCCCCCAGTAGAAAAGTTCATATTGACATCATTATTCTTCTAACAGCCCATTGTCGATTCCGTGAGATTTTAGCTAATTACAAGTCAAATCTTCTTAATGGTGAAAATAAATAAATATTATCTCTACTTTTTATCCATTTTTTTATAGATGCTCATGAATTCTTTTTCTTCTCTCTGTGAAGGTTGGCATATGTACTTTTGGCTGGCATTTGTCCCCTTGATTGTAAGTTTTGTGTTGTCCTCCCGCTACCCAACTAGTTTTTTTGAAAAAAAAAGTCTAGAAGAGGATCAAATAATCGAGATAAATGCCAAATTGAATGCGATTATCGGCAGATTATATGATCTTTTACAGTGAATATCTTCGGATCATACTAAATATTTCGATGTTTGCAGATGCTGCTTGCTGTTGGCACCAAGCTGGAGCACGTGATCACTCAATTGGCGCACGAGGTTGCTGAGAAACACTGTGCCATCGAGGGTGACCTCATAGTGAAGCCGTCAGATGATCACTTCTGGTTCCACAGGCCTCGAGTCGTCCTCTACTTGGTTCACTTCATCCTCTTCCAGAATGCCTTTGAGATTGCCTTCTTCTTCTGGATATTGGTGAGTGCTCTGAGGCATTCCATGTAATTACCCAATCTCTAAAACAGCTCCCCTGCCATTTGGCTCTTGTTTCATAATCCACTTCAGATTGTCGTACCTTGTTGAGGAGAAGCCATCGCCTTTGGTATCATATCCCTTCTTTGAGTCGACTATTTCCGGGCATCTAGAACCAGGAAAGAATTCTGACGTGCTCTTGTTTGTTACACAGGTAAGCCTCGGTTTTGAGTCCTGCACCATGGGACATATTTGGTTCATCGTTCCCAGGCTTGTGATTGGGTGAGCTTCATTTCCTCTCTGATTTTTTGGAGTATAATCTAGGAATCGATCTGTTCATCTTCAAGCCACTTATGTCATCAATTTTGCTCGGTCTAGAGTGTTTATTCAGGTTCTCTGCGGTTACAGCACCCTACCTCTCTATGCCCTCGTCACCCAGGTAACCCACAGATCCAAAGATCTTTTATATCCTCCGTCATCTATAGACCATGGGCTGGGTTGATCACCACCGGCTACTGCTGTGGCTGCTTCCTCTCCCATTTTCACAGATGGGCACCAAATTCAAGAAGGAGATCTTCGATGAACACGTGCAAGTGGGTCTTATTGACTGGGCCGAGAAGGTTAAGAAGCGGAAGGGAACGGGCTCATCATTCAAGGCGTGGTTGAAAGGAGGAAGGTCCGTAGAGGGAATCGGAGTCCAGCTGCAGAACTTGGGCGGGAGCCAGCCTTCCAAGATGGAAGAAGGAAATGCTGGGCCTGGCGAGGTGCGGAAGCCAGAGTAGCCTCAGCATGCTCGTGACTCTGCTATTTTCTTGAAGAGAGGCCCTGTTTGATGTGTGATTGCTTTGTGTGGAAAATGCAAGAGGTGTGCGATATATTGGCTGTACTTAAACCACTTTTTTTTCTTGTCATAGAAGGCTCTGATATGGACCCTGAAAGTACGCACACAGTATGTTGGTTGTTCAGAGGGGGAGGAACTGAGCACAGAGTGAGCCCTGTGCACTGTATTCTCTATGGGGAAGACTGTTGAAGCCATTGAAGTTAGAAGCCCAAGAGGACCAGGCTTGGGAGTGGAAAATGGGGTCCTGTCAAGCCGGGGCCTGGTTCGGCCCTCTTATCTATTTTCTATTTCTGTGAGTGATTTCTTGTTACCCGACTTGATCCCACCTACTGATCCTAAAACCCAAGAGATGAGCCAACTTGGGTGGGTTCCTGACTAATTTTCTTGATAAAAAATGATAGCTAAGTCTGATTTCCTGGCGTTAACCATATTCGAACAAATCAATATCATACCCTTCTGATCCCAACTGAGAAAGAATATATGCATGAATATGATTTCAAGGTCTTTCCAATGAGTCAAGTGAAGATAGCCAGAAGAAGAACCTTCCAAAATAACACAAAACGAGGTAGAGCCTGATGGCTGCAAGAAAGTTACCACTTACAGGCTTGCCGCATGGCTTTTGAGCTGCTCTGGGCGCCTTTGCTGCCCTTTTCCTTGTATGAGTTTCTAGAGGAGAGAGTTTTCCGCCCACCCTGAGCTGCCGCCACTGCCCGGCGCCTCTGCTTGACCAAGCGTCTGTGGAGTACAGCATCGCCATTATCTGGGCTATGAGCATCATCATCATCATCATCATCATCACCATCCTCACCCTGAAATAAACGAGCCCAGGTTACCAAAGTGTGATGAAGAGACGACGAAGGCAGTAGCCGATGAGTTGATGAATTCAATCTTGATGACATTTGACTTCTTCAATAATGGTACTTGAGAATAGCTGATTATGAATAGATAGGAATGTCAACCGGCGGGCCCAGCCTTGCCCTGCCACTCTGGACAAAGAAAAAAATCCCTCAAAAATGAGCTCCAGTGAAGCCTGGGCCTAGTCTGGGCCTCTGTGTGAAGATCACAGAGAGAGAGAGAGAGAGAAATCTCTGATAAGGGCTGGGATGGGGAAGGTTTGACCCAGGCTTACTCTGCCCGATGGCACCACTAATAATGGATGATTATTCACAAGTTTTTAAAGATAATTGTACTCCGAGAAAGGGTCATATACCTCTTTATCCTCTGAAGTTTTGACGACAGTGTTGTCATGATTACTTTGAGGTAGACTGCACTCAGAGCTCGAGCCAGGACAATTCTCCTCCACAACATCCTCGAGAGTGGAGGTGACGTCAGACGGCTAAATGGAGAAGCAAGACATTGAAAAATCAGTACCAACTTAAAACCACCCCAAGACAAGAATACTGAAATACAAGAAAAAGCAGAAGAAAAGTTTCCAATGAGTGAGAAATAAGTGAAATTCAGGATAAATGCTTTCCATTTGTCCGCATGAGTTCTAGATTATATGGGTTTCATTCTAGATGGCGCCAGCACCAGAAGACTCAGATTCCCACAAAACAACCAAATTTCTAATACCAGAGTATTGATCGACAAATCCTTACGAAGCACTTAGAAGCAAATACTTTACTGGTTTTCCTCATCCTTCAGTTTCGGCCACTTCATAACCTTAACCTTGAAACACAGAGCGCTATGCAGTCATGACAACAATTTTATAACTCGAAATCGGAGGAAGAAGATGAATAAAATGTCAAATTTGAAGGCCCTGCTCAATTTCAACAGAAGAAAGGTGTTCCTACCCTCTTAGAAAGAGAAATACTTGGCAACCTCGAACATCCAAACTCGGATGAGCAAGCAAGAATAAATCTGTATGGCATTGTAGATCTCCTACGGATTATACGGATGTGCTGCTTTGCTCTTATTTGGTAGTCTACTTTATGAATCTAGAGAGTTATGCAAAGTTTAATCAGAAATAAATTTACCAGGATCCATGATTTTGTTGGCAAGAGGAAACGTATAAAAACAGCAATGAGGTTTGCACCTGATCAGCCAAACGCAAGGAATTCAGTGAGCTCAAATCTTCATCGACCTTCTCTGGCATGAACTCACTGTCATCAACATCGTCCTCATCAGAGCCTGAACTGTTCTCGGCTTCACTTCCTTCAATAAACTATAAAACAGACGTCAGAATAGATTTAGAAAATTATTAAAGGCACACTGAATTGAAGGCAACCTAAATTAGCTCCAAAAGCCATAGGAGAAAGATGTCTAACGCCATGATCATCAGAAGTGTGGGTGATTAACATAATAAGATTAGTTTCACATTTCCATAGATCAAAAAAACAACATCACACAAAATAAAAAACACACAACCTCTCCATTGGGTCGAAGCCACATTCGTTATTCCCTGGCAGTGAAAATGAAAAGAATTTCGAGGGTAGGAGTGAAGAAAAGTAGATTGCACAATAGCATGCAAGTGAGAATCAAAAGACTATGGAAGATGAAGCAATGACTTCAGAATCTAGGATCTGGTTACAGTCATTGGATAAGTTTTATGGTCAGTTGTCCACATAATACCAACCCCGTTGCAACAAGCTCAGTGAGCACTTCTATGAGAGGGCAATCATGAGCTTCCCCCACCCAAAAGATGTCGAATTCCTTGACTATGTTATTTAGATATAAGAAAAGTTTTATGGTGTGAAAAGGGTAGCTGACTCATTTTGCAGTCTGCATTGCCCTAGAACATCAGAGAAATGATCTGACTCACTGTAATAATATCATGCCATTATAAGGATAAGTGCAATACGAAATATTTTCTTCCCGGTCATATTGAATCATAAAAATGATACAATGGATAAAACATAAAGCATATGAAATACCAAATTGGCATGACCAAGTTCGAACCATAAATTTATGCTTTCGGCATAGTAAATGAAAGCTTTCTAATTGTCCCAGTCGAGCATCAGGTGCTTAGAGATTGATGGGTTCGTTGAATCTGTTCTCACAATTTTTATTGACGTTTACCTAGGGCCTCTCGTGTTTGACTGAAATTCACTTAATATGAAGTCCTTCCGAGTTTTTTATTCCAAATAACCAAATGTACCTTAGGTTACAACTAATAGATCAAATAAATTAGCCATTACTAAAAGTCAAAATAGGGCATCCACATCAAACCCAGGATTCTTCTATTTATAAACTCTAGCATTTTCCATTGACCTAAATATGAAATAAAAACTAATCATGAAATATATGAACCACCGAAACTAGTGAACGTTACACTTTCGATCTGCTCTTGCTCCCGTCGTGTAAACCCACTGGCGGCAAGTTCTTTGTCCAAAAATCCAGTAGCTTTAGCTAGAGAAGAAAATGATGGCCTTTCTTCTTCTTCAATGTCTGATTCTGTCTCGTGACTGCTGTGTGAGTCCTCTACAACAGAATGGTTGAACCTGGAAAATAAACAACATAGTTGAGTTTTTCAGGCAACAGATGCACTAGATATGGCAGCTGATGGCAATGATCTGTGATAGGTCATACATGAAATTCCGGTATTCTGCTGGTAGTTTGCAACATGTTTTCGGAGAACGAAGTGAATTAACACATTTTAATCATAAAACAGGGGAAAGTACAAATTGAAAAGAGAGATTGTGGCCTCTCAAGAGGTTCAAGCAAGAAAGTTAGACGGAAGAGGATATCCAAAGTTCTATCTAGCACAAAAGCTGTCAATGAAAGGGATTCCTCCAATCGCTTAGGGTTTAAGTGCAACAATATCTTCAGATACATGAACCTGATATGATCCACTCTCAAGCCTTCACCAAAGAGGCTACTTTCTGGAGAGTGGAGAACATGGTTTGGTAGCATGGATTGATTCTATTTTTTCTGGTTTCTTGCCCATCAAATAGCCAGTAGTGGGGTGATCAGCTTCCAGCAACCTTCCTCTGAATTAAAAGGATACGTTGAATCCCACCAAGGCATAGAAAGTTGTCTTGATGTCTGTCACTGGACGTTGAGAACTCCAGATAGCATTTCCAAGGCTGGAGAATAACACCACCACCCATAATTTCTTCGAAGGAACAATAAAAGGTGCATGCTTCTTTAATATTCCACCCGGACCTTTTCATGAACATGTTTAACAAAAGATCTCACTTTCAAATGCACGTTTTCAATTTCTTTCCAAAAGGTCGTCCGTGGCAACATTTGATGTACCTTTTCACCATTTTTCCAGAAAAATTGCTCCCATAGTTTCCTCTTTCCTGCATGCTTCCTGAGGCACCTTGAAGATGAGTGGATAACAAACGTTGATGCTAAAAAACACTGCTGGGAGAAGACCTTTAAACTTCCGAATTTTCCTCTAATTTCATCCAGCCGTGCATTCTAAGAGGCTTCTAAAGGGAGTCCTAGATAGCGGACGGGTAATCAGGTTTACAATAAGCATACGATTTCTGCAAGGCTACCATTGTTTCTCGGGGTAGTGTGTGCTTTTACCTCCACTTTCCCAGTAGTAATGACATTTGAATATAACATATTCCATTGGTATAATAACATCAATAATTGTCACTGTGTATGTGATATTTCCAGAAAGAGCTACTTTCGCAATGTCGTATTGAGAGCTGAATTGTGTATGTATAAATGTACATATCCATACACATCACATTAAGATCCAAAACATAAGCATTCATCTATGTTACCTATTTCAACTCTAAGGAAACTAAAATTTCCAAATTAATATATATTTCCATTAGATCTAATTCCACAGTAATAAGATCAAAAATTTACAATGAAGAGAAGTCTAAAATCCATTGCCGGGTCTTTAGTTAATGATGACATCTCTTCTTTTCATTAGTTAATGATGACATAATCAGGTTTAAAGAATAAATTTCGCATTTAGGTTCGAGAGCTTAGCAATCGCAAATGGACACTGAACCACGTATTTCTTGTCATCATGCAATAACTCATAATTGGCTCGAATGGTGAAGGACCACTTGAACAAATTTAGCAAAAACCTCTTTCTGAAGAACTTGTAGATGCCGTCAACATCACGGTCAAAGTACCTGAAACAATCAGGATCTTTCAGAAACCTAGGAAACTGACATAAATAAAGCTCGAATATAGGTATGATGTAACTTCTGGAAATAGCAATAAATGTTACATTTGTCCATTTCGATGAGCAACCGAGACCATCTGCGGAAAATCAATCATAGTAATATTCTCGTCATCATCAATCTGCCAAACAAGAAAAAAAAAAAGGTTCATCAGTTCCAGGATCCTATAAAGAATGGGCTTATTCGTTTTGACATAGTCTAATAAATATGTGCATCAGTAGTGACACTCTCCTATGTGCAAGTTAATCCTTCATTAGATTAATTTTACATATTTAATCCTTTCAAAAACTATATTGCAAATTTACTTAAGAGAAACCTTATGTACCCATTTCAAAGAACTATAAGCATGCAATGTCTGCACATAGCTTATTCCCATCTTTATACAGAGTAGACAACTCTTTTGTCCAGAAAGGGAATCATCTATCTTTAAGATAAAATACTTTAATGACACCACTAGCCTTAAGGTGGCACTTAAGCTTTTGGTGAATAGAAGAAATATATAATAAGGAAATAATTAATCTATAGCCATCATTCACATCATCCATACCATTACATATGAAATAAGGAATTGAACAGGAAAATATGTATGCAAAAATGAAAGTAATGTCCTCTGGTTTCTATTTTCCATTTGTTTTCAATTTTGAAAGAAAAATTCTAGTTACCAAGGCTTAATAAGAATAAAGAGTAGAAATATCAGCGATACACCGATGATAATGAGATTTCACCAAAAAATATACATCTATGCACCGTAAGAGCGCTCCATGTAGTTGAAGAAAATAGCATTCGAAACTTACCATGATGTTGAATTCATTAAAATCACAATGGATAAGACCGTGCTCTGCTAAACGAACAACAAGACCAACTATTGTTTCGAAAACCACATCTGGGTTTCGCAATTCCCTCACTTGTACACTGTATGGACATAAGATGGTGTAACTTTACAGAAAGAAAAACACAGGATGCAGAGAGTAAAAAGGGAAATAAATCCTTACAGGGGATAGCCCAGTACAAGAGACATGACTATGCAATGGCGATTGCAGTCCACAGCATTAGGCACAGGAAATCCATGTTCTCCTAGAGCCTGTAGCATAGAAAAACATGAATGAGACAGAAAATACACCCCAGAAAACAGTGATTGTTAGTTCACAAACGTACGTTAAAGGAGAAAGCTCACAGCATACTCGCCTTCATAAATGCAAACTCTTTGAGGGCAGCTAGACGTGAAAGATAGAGCCAATTAAAACTTTTCCTGTGCAGAAGGTAGTCACGCTTGGACTTCACAGCCCTGAAAGATGTCCTACCCAACCTATGCAGCTTCATAGCCAAAACAGTGCCATCCTCCATAGCAACCTCAAATATATCTTCCATGCAGAAGTCAGTAGAGCAATAATATCAAAAAATTGCATCAGCAAGAAGAAATGATTTTACGTTACCGGACTCTTTTCCAACACCGATTTGGCGTCCAACAGCAGCGAAAACACCACGGTTGACTAGAGCCTTGATCGCAAGGAAATCATATCCCAGGTAAGTCAGCCGAAAACCATCGTCTGCATAAGCACATCATATATTATAGTATTATAGTTTGACCATTGACACAATAAATGCATAGAAGATAATTATTTGTAAAAACACCATGCCGTACACTTGGAAGAATCATGATGGACCAACTTATGCTTGAGCAGATTCTTCAGTACTTTGTAAGTGCCCCCATGCCTAGTTTAATAAATATTTTTTAAAAAAACTACATCAAAAATCTTACTAACACTGTAGAAAATGAAATCTGAGAAAGAACAGAACATTCTTACTTGAGACCCGCAATTCGGTCGATGAGTTCAGATGGAACAATCTCATGCTGTCAATGGAAACCAATTAAAGAGAACAGTATTATAAGTGCCATACATGCAGCCAGAAAATGGAAACTGTAGGTGGCAATGTACGTACATTCCGCATCCCCATCTCCACAGCTGTAAGAACCCTAAAGTCGTCCTTCGAGAGATACCTGAGAGCATCTACGTCGAGCTTCATGTTTGATGCAGCAACAGCAATGCCAACTAGAAAGAGTTTTGAAGATTTAGTTACAAAGATGAATCATGTTATGATTTTGCATTTCTTCAGATTTTCAGGCCACTACTACCATGACCCCTAACCCTTTTCCGCTCTATGACACTACTCTGACAAGCAGATAACGTGTCATCAACTGAATCACAGGAGCATTAAAGAAAAAAAATCATATCACAAAAGCAAAGTAAACTACACGACCCAAGAGAGTTACATAAGAAATACATTTTAGATATAATCTAATTCAAAAAAAAACTCTGCTTAGTGTTCTCTCATCTCACCACCAGATAATTATTTTTGAATTAAAAGGGTAATAACAGCTCATCTAGTCTAATCTCACAAATAGCAATGATAAAAGCAAATGAAAACCATCAATCACAACCACGTTGACGACTGTAATGAAAAGTACGAAACCGTCAACTATGAATCTTCAAAATATTAATTAAATCCAATAACACATTATATTATGCGAACTTTAAAAAAAATTGTCCGTTCTCCCGACCACAGTGGCCACCCCCCCCTCCCCCTCACGATGTAAAAAAAACAAAACACGTTTGGGAGCCATATCCTCCCGTCGTAATGTTCAATACTTCAGGTCTAGACGGCGGGACTCATTAGAGCCTGGGCACCGACGAGACAAGTAATACTCGCAGCCACCGCGAGACCAACGAGGAACGACGTTCCTGGGTCAGCCTAGCTCCCAGAACAACACCCTCCCCGGGTCCCCCGCTCGGCCGCACAGGAAGCGAGAAGGTCAGAGCCGTAACCCGCACCCCGCAACCCCACCGTCGGAGGGGGAATCACCTTAAAGCCCTCCTCCCGGGCGGTTGCAGCTGGCATCTTCCCCTCCGCCGCCGGCGGACTATCGGATGCCCCACCAGTCCGGCAAGAACGCCCTCCAGACGTTGCCCAACATCTGGACTGCCCCGACTGGGTCATCGTTCGGCGGCCTCCGCTACTCTTACTACTTACTTCGCACCAAAAAGAATCGAACAGAGAGAAGGCAATGGAAACATACACGCTATCTGCAATCGGCCCCCGCTCCAGCCACCGAACAACTTCCTCTACTGCTCTGCCCTCTTCCTGTTTCCCGCCGCTCGATTCCCCGCTGGCCGTCGGAGTCGAGGTTTAACGTCCGCGAGGGAGAAGAAGAGGAGGTTCTCGATGTACATATTTTAAAATTAACCCCTTTGTATTTATACTATATCTCTTATGGACAATCACTGCCGTTATAATCCGCAATTATTTTGGTATATTTTTTTAGTTGATTTAAGTCAACTTTAATTGGCTTAATTTATTCACTGCTTATTTAACTGGGCTTGGAGATTTCATCGGCCCAATAATTAAATGGGCCAGTGAGCAGATGGCCCAACATAAAACCGGTGAGGGTACTTGTTCCGACGTGGACTGAGCCTGGTCTTGGGGTAACTACTGAGGCCCATTCCAGACGCGACATGCCGGTTATAATCTCATGGAAGGAGCTAGAAGATGACAGCTTCCCGCCACCGCCGCAGAGTCGTCGCCACTCCGGGCTGCCGCCAGCGCCGCGACCTCTGCTTTGGATCGCCTGAGACCTAGCGAAGGGCGTATAGTCCGGCGATTTTCTCTCCTCTTTTCATCTCCCGTCCCTGTCCCAGGATGATTCGGCTACTGGTGCGTCGTTCACCATGGTTTTTTGTTCACCGAGGACGGGCTTTGATTGTTTTAGTTATTGGTGGTTTGTGAATGATCGCCGTCGTTTTTTTTAATAGAGGCACGGGGCTTCGGTGGGTGTCTTGGCCTTGGCCGCCATCAGTGGGAACGCTATCATCGGCAATGGCAGCGGAGGTGGCGATATCCGTACCAGTATCCTGCTCAACTCATATCATTCCTTTTAGCGATTCCTATCCGTTTTATTTCTTTTGGCCTCTTTTCAAATTTTCAGTGATTTCGGACCAGTGGGATTTCTAACAAAAGAAAACATTTCGTAGCTCTTTCGGCATCACCGCCGCTCAATGTCCTGATATCGCGGGAATGGCAGCAGATCCTGCAAAGTATTAGTCAGCCCCTTCTTTGTTCGCATACCCCGAGCTCGGCGGAGTCATGGGTTCCAGGTTCCGCATCCTCCGTTTCTCCGAACTATATGTTCGTCGAAGCTTGTGTTTTTTCCCTCGAGAGATTTCTCAGCATTTCGCATCCTCAGGATCGGTGTTGGCGCCTCATCTATCCGTAGCCAGCTCTCCCCCTGCAACCACTGCTGGGATACATCCCCCTGTAGACGGTGGCAACTACCCGCATTGCTGCCCAGGTTGCTTGGGTAGAAACTCCATTTCCATGGCTGCCGCCAAGGTCGCACCTGCCGTTGTCAACATTTCTAATGTTTCTACGGTTCAAGGTAAGCCTCCAGTAATCTATTTCTCAGAAGTTACATGTTCATTTCACCATCCAATAAAATATCTTTTGAATGTTCCTGCACATTTTCAGGTTATTTTGGATTAATGGTTGGAAAGAGTGTTGGATGTGGCACAATAATTGATCCCGATGGTACAATTTTGACTTGTGCTCATGTCGTTGTCGACCCCCAAGGCCCAAGAACAGTTTTCAAGAGAAAGGTGGGTGCTCCCTAAAAATTGATGGTCGCAGTGAGCCCATTTTTCGCCCATATTCACACTTTCTCCATTGAAAACGATGGATAGGATGAGTCCATTATTATTCTGTGTTTCCTTTAAACTTGATGGGTCCAGGTGACCCCTTCAAAATTGTCCTTTCCCTTAGACTGGTTGATGACATTTCGGGCTTTCATATCCAGTTTCACATGTTTTCAGCCCTTCAAACCCCATAAAACTTTTTCATGCGGTGAGCCCTAGCTCATATGTGAACATCTAATTCCGAATTTTTCTATATGTTAACTCACTATCTGTAAAGGAGAACTTGCCAGTTCGGAAGTAGTGTTAAATTACTTTATATCTTAGATAATACAGTTCTGTCGAGCGAAGTATATTTAAATTCAATAGTACTTTAAGCCTTTTGACTACTACAAAGACGTGAAACAGTGAAGGAAATATTTTCGATGACGAAAAATTAAAAAGAGGAAGATGGCTAACCGGAAGGAATTAACAGATGGATTGCTTTATAGATAGTTGACTAGAGAATTGACGGCGATGCAGAAAGATATTGTGAGGAAGAAAATAATAAATTCTATTAGGTCACACAGTCGACCAATTAAGGTTGGCAATCATTGGCTGCACATTTCATCGTAAGCATAACTAAGTTGAGGCAGGATCAAGGGCACGAATGGCATTTTATCCAGCATTTTTCTTCATACGGTTAGAATCAGCAAACAGGATGAACATGCCATTTTGGCTCTTATCTGATCAACATTAGCATATGCATTTCTAACCAAGACTGGCTTCAGGCCAGTGATTCCCTGATAAAAGCTGTGTTTAGTCGTGCTTAAGTAAAATCTTTATCCTTTTATATCCATACTAACAAGCCCCAACTGATGTCTTAGCTCCTGGCCACTAGTTTTTATTTTGCTATCAACCAGCTAATAGAAAAACATAAAGGAAAAGAATCATTTACATTTAACAGTCACCACGTTACTTCTAAATGCAACCTTTGACCTCGCCAAATTTGCATGAAGCTTTGATACGTCTCCTGGTTTCGCCGTGTAGCATTTAATATGGAGTTTCTTTAGTATCTTTTCTTTTACAAATTTCAAATTTCAAATATATGAATTTGCTAGTTTGCTATATTTTTTTCTAAATATCCACAAATAACTTTTCAGATGCTTGAATGGTTTTTCTATTATTATTATCCTATTTTTTAAAACCATTTTATTTGCATTTCTTTACTTTAGGGGCACACATGAGGGATTTATTGTTCACGTATCCATTTTTATATTCATAACCCTAACAAAGAGTAATAGGTTGACGTGACCTTGCAAGATGGACGAGTATTTGAGGGAACTGTGCTCAATGCTGACTTTCAATCCGACATTGCTGTTGTTAAAATCAAATCTAAGACTGCATTACCAACAGCAAACTTTGGATCATCTTCTAAACTTCAACCAGGAGATTGGGTGATTGCTTTGGGTTGTCCTCTATTTCTCCAGAACACCATTACAGCTGGAATTGTCAGGTAATTGTACGGCTGTATAAGGTCAGTATCTTTTTTCTTGTGCTTTTTACTTGTGGATGGGAAAGTATCATCCATCTACATCAGAAGTTTTATCGAATCAGGATCCTAGCCTAAGCCGAACTAAGTATCTCTTGCTTCTTTTATGATAATGTTATACATAAGTTTTTTTGGACTGAAGATCCCAAGAAACTGAAAGTGCGCCACCCATTATGAAGCAGTTTTGAGGTGGGAGCATACTTGGCCTTGTGAATAAAAGTAAAAATACAGAGATAGATACTAGAAATGAAATTGAAATAAAGCTACTTACTGCAAAGGACCTACCCTACAGAAGATTGGACACATGTCATCTGACAGCTGTCTCTTCACCTGTTTAGTGCATCTATTTAGTGGATCCATCAAGTATGGTTTCAAAATGATGTTGCAAAAACCTTTGTAATGACAGTTCTGAGTTATATACGGTTTTGTTATCGAAAGTACGCCTGGCTCGTTACATTATTTAGTGACGAGTGCATTTTGTGTTATTTTACGTTTGGATATTTCGAGAAATGGACATTACTTGAGAATTTTGTTCTCTGGGGATCATAAATTTTATTTTTCTCTTATATCAGTTGTGTTGATCGGAAAAGTAGTGACCTGGGTCTTGGTGGAGCACGAAGGGAATATCTGCAGACTGACTGTTCAATCAACGAGGCAAGATGGTTTTTTTACTATAGTACTACTTAACAGTAATCCATGCGGTGACTACATTTTAGTTTGCCCTTTGATTTTAGAGTTCTTATGATTGTGCTTTCTTTTCTTCCCCTCATGTTAGTGAGAAAGTAACGCCAATCAAAGGGTAAATGAAATCACTGTGTCACGTGATTTCTTGTATGTTCTTCCTCTCTTTCCGTTTACATGGAATGAAGAGGGAAAGACATCTATAAAGGGCATTTTGTGTGATTTCAAGTTTCTCCTGTCAAAGAAATATTGGGTTAGGAGCAAATTACCTTGTTGAAGACCTTCATTTCAACTTCATGAAGCTTCTATATTTAATTCCCTTCATGTAAATTTCTTTTGTTTCTGAAAATGGATTGATATGTACAGGGTAACTCTGGTGGTCCACTTGTAAACCTGGATGGTGAGGTTGTGGGTATTAACATCATGAAGGTTGCAGATGCTGCTGGTTTGAGTTTTGCGGTACCAATTGACTCAGTTATTAAGATCGTAGAACAATTCAGACAGAATGGGTATGTTCTCTATTGAAATATATTATCCCCGAGGATTGTGATTCCAAGGTCCCTTGTGGATGAGTCTGATACCAATCTGTTGTATTTTTTTTCAGCCTGGCAGATTGTGCCATTAAATTAATTGTTTGAATGAGGTGGACCATGGCTATTAGCACTTGTTATGCTAAATAGGATTTATAGTAGACCATTTGTTAGGATGTTGGGATGAAAGGTGGCACAAACTTGAGATCTTTCCCTGCTTGCTGAACTAATTTGACCCTATGTCTTGATTATTTGTCATTCCACTCTACTTATGAAATGGAACGACAGCAGAAAAATGGAAGAAACTGGCTGTAGATCCTCAGTTACGAGAAAGTACCATGTCAAAGTTGGTCCTTTGGTCTCCTCACTCGGAATTTTGATTCTAGAACTGTGCGCTGACCCAAACTAGCCACCTCCATTAAACTGGCATGGTTTAATTTCATAAAGAGAAATAAATAGCTGCATTTCGTGGTAGCGTTCTGTTGGTAAACAGAGTCGAATGGTAGAGAGAGGATTTGTTTGTAGGGTACCAGAGGAACCTTGTAGGAAGCCAGGCAAAGCTCGGGATTCCTCCTCGAAGCGCCTTGCCTCAAGGGGCTGTTGAGGGTAGGGCTCTTTGTGTAGCGTAGAGATTTGCACTTTCAGGCTTCTGCAAAGCCTTACCTCGGACCATTACCCAGCAGGCCACACTCGACCAGATTTTGGATCTGAGCTTTTCACTCTCCAGCCTGAAACATGGCTGAGTGGCCTTGCAGAGCTTCTTGGCTAACCTGGATGGTGGGCACCATTATCAGCTGGATTCTCAGGATACCGACTTCTCTTCTTGGTAGTTGTGCTGTCTTTCAGAACTTATTTCTCCGAGTTCACACGTTTGGAAATGTCTTTGTTGTTACATCTCTTTTCCGTCAAATACGTCTTTCTGAGCATTCCCCCTAGCATCCTCAATCCCTGTGACTGTAAGGTCCCCCCCCCCTCCACTGATGCACGTCCTCTTCCTCTCAATTGGCCCGGAACAGCTATCTCTAGGCTTCCTTTGGACACTTGATTGAGTTGTACCTTTGGCAGGAGAGTCGTCCGGCCTTGGCTTGGTCTGAAAATGCTTGACCTCAATAACATGGTCATTGAACAGCTCAAAGAAAGGGATGTTTCTTTCCCTGACGTGACAAAAGGCGTACTAGTACCTGTGGTAAGCTTCCTCACTGCCTCTAAGATTCTGACAGTGGCTTTGTATCCCAAGAAATGAATTTCACTCCGTGGTTATTATGGGATCACATCTCCCTACAAAGCAAAGTGTTACTCTAAGTTTCTAAAGGAATTTGGGGTATTTTCTCTGGCTGTATTATGATCCTTGATATGCAAGAATCGTTGTATCTGACAGTATCCTATGTCTGACATTTATAATTTTCTAAACCCTAAACCAGGTTACTCCAGGATCTCCCGGTGAGCATGCTGGATTTCGTCCAGGTGATGTCGTCATTGAATTTGACGGCAAGCCCGTTGGAAGCATCAAAGAGGTAATCAAGCCAGTTTCTGATAATTTTTCATGTGACATCGTTTAAACAAAAGAATGCGTCTTTCTTGTGCCTTCATCCCTATGTTTTTTTTCTCCCTATTATTGGAATTCCTTGCCCCCTCCCCACGATACGCATCAATAATGTGCCATCTGCATACGACATGCGCTGGAATTTGCATAATTCTAGTCTTTATGATAACATTAATATATTCCGGCGATTTATCGTCTGCTGTAACAGATCATCGATCTAATGGAGAATAAGGTTGGGGTGCCCATCAAGGTTCTTGTTAAGAGGGCAAGAAACCAGGCTAAAATCTTGACTGTAGTGCCCGAAGAGGCGAAGCCCAGCTTTTAATGCTTCACGGCTTTCATGATTCCCCAGGATATCTCTCAGTTTAGTTCTTCTTTAGATGGGAGGGACCTCTGAAGCTCTTCAGAAAAAATTACGACCGCATGTTTTTCCTTTCAAAATGCGCTGATGTTGTGTTGGAACATGAAAAAAAAAATTATTTAGCAGAATTATTTGAAGAGAAGTTATTTTTTATATTTTTTTCCTGAAAACTCCCGAAAGTACTCGAATTGGGAATGAGCTTGTGGAACCGTGAATTAATTAATCGATGCATATCCAACCTTATATTTGGTTTCCAACTTTATTTTTTCCTCTGATGGGAGGAGTCTGAAGTGCCCCATTTTAATTTCTTTATATTTCCCAAGAAAAAAAAAACGACTTTCGTTTTTTTCCTTATGAGATGCTTCCTATTTTATTTTTATCGGAATCTGTCCACGGCTGCCTTGAAATGTGGATGTTGATTTAGAACCCGAATTTCTTGACCAGCAGATTAATTTGAAGGAATTTATTTTATTTCCATTTTTCTTCTTAAACCCCTTAATCTGCTGGAATTCGGAAGGAGCCCTTGTACATGTCTCTAGATTTAATATTCGGCGAAGTGGATTAAACAATGCCTGTGGAATGAAATGATGAACGCCTCTGTTCTCGGCATGCTGATATCATGTCGGGGAAATGAGACAAGGCCACGTGCCGGGGTCCTTGCGCGCCCTGGGCCAGCTCCGCTGCGCGTTGACATGGCACCTTTTGTAAAATGGGTAGAAATCTACGAGAACCCATTAGTTTCATAGAAAAATATCAAACTATTTATCAGCACCGACTAAACAATTCCAGGAGTTCTCGTCCGTGTCAGTTTCCCTGTCGTAAAAGCCAGGCGAAAGATAATTGAAAGAGCTTACGCTACTAGTAGATCAGAACAAGTTGCTCTCTCTGCGCCTCCTGTGTATACATATGCAGTCCAAAAAGTACGGCGCACTAGAGACAACTGCAAGGGAGATGCCATGCCGCACGATACCCAGCACGGGGGGTGACCAACGTGATCTGCGCCTGTTTACTCCGGTCTTGCCCTTCTGGCGTGAATACCTGGATACTCTTAACTCCCGTCGATGACGATATTTACGTTCTCCTTCTACAGTTCCCGTATGTTTTTTCCCTGGTTTCTAGCTAGCTAGAGAGTGAGAGTGAGAATGAGAGAGATAGAGGGGTTGGATGGGTGGGAATTGTGATGATTGCCATGGGGCCGGACGGGAAAGCTCCCAGAGAGGGCAAGGGCTAGTGGGTGGTCCTGCGGCGATGGTGGACCTGCCGGTGGGGGAGGGTGGGGGAGGGTGGGGGAGGGGAAATGCGGAAATAATTTCCCTCGTTTATGATAAAAAAATAGCCCCTTTCCAGACCCGTCGCTGCCATTTGATTGCCCTGTTTCTCGGGCTCAATGAAATCTCGGTCCTCAGGCCTCCTTCGCCCTTCCTGCGACTTGAGGGGATCAATCAGTTTCACCGGGTCGTCGGCCTTCCCCGGCTGGGGGGGGTGGGGGGAGCGGACAGGGTAAAGAAAGGTCACTTCCCCCCTGCTCTTTCATTCCCCCCTTCGGAGATCCTCCCGCCGCCGCCGCCTGCGGCGACGGTGGCGGCGCTCTCTTGCTCGTTTTCTGCCGATTCACGTGCTTCTTCTCTTTCCGCTTCTGGTTCTTCTGTTTTCTCCTCCGCCCCCGGATTTTTATTTGTTTTTTGTTTTATTTATTCCACATCGCCGCAGCTCCCCAATCGTGTCCCCGACTTTATGATTCATCCCCTCGTTCCCGGCGATCTCCTTATCTCGTTGATTGGTTCCGATTTCTTCTTCGTCGCTCTCTCTCTCCCTCTCGTTCTCTATCTATTTGGCAGATCATCTGTAGATACCCTGGTTTTCCCTTCTTGATTCCTGTGGTCGAATCGTTATTTTCTTCAGAGCTTCTCCGGCGGCGGAAAGTCCCCCTTCGATCTCGGCGGGCCAGATTTCAGCCTCCCGTTGTCTGATCGTCGAAGAAATGCGGAACAGACGGAATAGAATTTCACGAGGAAGATCGAGGCATGCTGTTTGCCGAGCGGCAGGTTCTTAATTTTGGGGGCCAAACTGTCGGAGTCGTCGAATCCGAGCGATTTCCCCTATCGTGGATCGCCGATCTATTTTCTGTGCACGTCGGATGGAGGATACGACGATGATCGTCGGAAAGAGCGATGACGAGGTCATGGTGAAGGAATCTCCGTTCGACGATCCCCCATCCTGCGTGGGGATGGAAACGGATGAGTGTGAAGGTGCAGAAAACCCTAGCGGCAGCGACGATCTTCTGAAGCAGCAGGAGGATGGTGAGGGAAGCCGCCATGTCGTCTTGTCGAGGGATCCGTCCCTTCTCAACAGGGACCTCGAAATCCATGGACGAAGCGGTTGCGACGACAGGAAGATTAGGTCAAGGGCTCTGGCCTCGCCGGACGACTCCCAGGTCCAGAGAAGAGGCAAGGACAAGCATGTGCAGGAGAGGAAACTCAGCCGGCAGGATCGGATCGAGTTGGGACGCATGTTTCAGGCGGCTGTGAACTCCCATGACTGGGAGCTCTCAGAGAGCTTGATTCTGCTGGCAGACCCGCAGACTCTCAATGACGCCCTCTGCATCGCCTTGGATTCCATCTGGTTTTTGACCACGCGGCAGGAGTTGGACGGCATCACTGGATTGCTCAGGATGATCGTTGCAAGTGGTGCTCAGGATTTCACGAGGGCGGCACTCAGAACGTCTTTTCTTGCTTCTTGTGTGTCTGCATGCCAGAGCAGCACCATGAGTTTATCAGACACTGTCGCTGTCATGGCACAAAGGTACGGGGACTTAATCGTGCTTGATCCCTCGTCGATCATCTTTTCCAAGTCTGATTTCCCGTAGAGCAAGTGGAATCAGTTTCTAGACAAAAAAATTCCCGATTTCTGTCGAAAACTGAACGAAAATTGATGTTTTCAGAGCATACATACAGAATATGCAATAGATTCTTATCCTCGATCATCTGATTTTCTCGCGCGGAGAGAATGGGATCATCATCTGAAATAAATCTACTGGATTATTTGTTAAAAACCGACTGCAATCGATGCTTTCAGAACAGTGTGCGGTTGATAATCATCGTCGACCATCTTTTCCGATCTGATTTTGCGTCGAGTGGAACTGATCCCGAAAAAAATTATCTTGGATTCTTCGGTCGAAGATCGAATGCGATCGACGCTTTTGAATTTAAAACATTGACAGTCGGAAATCTCCCGGAATGAATTATCGCCGGCCACAGGTTGCACGAACGCCTCCAGGAATGCAACGGCGACGAGATCCTGAAGGCGGAGGCGGGCGCCAAAGTCCAGAAATTCACAGAGTGGGCGCTTAAGTGCATCGGCTTCCACTCTCGGAGCCAGGAAGGCGGCAGGGACAAGGTCGGCCGGAGCACCGCCACGGAGCTCCAGCTCCAGCTTTCAGCCTTCAAGAGGTTCCTGGACCTCGCCGGCAACCAGCTCACCGGGAAGGACTTCACAGAGGCCTTCGACGCCGCCTGCTTCCCACTCACTCTCTTCTCGAGCTCCTTCGACCCCGGCTGGTCCTCTGGCATCTCCGCCACCGCCATCCAGGGCCTGCTGGGCTTGCTGGTGGAGGGCGGCGCTGACAACGTGAACCAGTGCTTCCTCGAAGCTTCCCGCTTCGGCAGCACGGAGCTCGTCCGCATCCTCCTCCAGGTCCGACCCACCTTTTTCCTCTCTGCATCTCATCTCCTCCACTATTCCATCTTCAATGTTTTCTCAACTTCTTCGTCTTCGTTTTCGTCTTCTTCAGGTGGCGCAGAGGAACAGCTTGGACGTGGACGTGGACCTGGCCCTGGGGTTTGCGTCGCACTACTGCAAGATCGGGACGATGGAGTGCCTGGTAGAGGAGGGCAACGCGATGGCGTTCCTGGGGCCGCTGATGAGGGCGGCGGAGAGGGGATGCCTGCAGGTGGTGCAGTGGTTCGTCCACCGAGGTTGCAGGGACATGGAGCTCTGCCTGGCCCTCACAGCGGCCACCTCCAGCAGCCAGTTGGAGGTCGTCTCCTACCTCCTCCCCCACGTCCCGCAGCAAGTCCTCGCCGCGCTGAGCGTCGAGATCCTCAAGGCCGCCGGCGAGCGTAGCGGCGGCTCCTTCGCTGGCGTCGGGTTCCTCCTCCGCTCCGACTTCCTCAGGGACCCGGCGGCGACCTACTCCGTCGCCGACGCCATCGCCATGTCCAAGGACGAGGCCGTGTCGCCGGCGCTAAGGTCGTTCCTACGGGAGCACTGGTCGGAGGCGGCCTTCTCCGAGGGGCGGCGGCGCGGGCAGGAGCACTACCTCAACTTCCTCAGGATCCTGCTCCGCGGGGGGTCGCCACTGCGCCCGAGGGACCTCCCGGGGACGCTCAGAGCGGCCATCGCGTACCTGCCGCTGTACAGGGAGTGCGCACAGGCCGGGGGGCGGCTGCTCTCGCAGCGGCTCAGAGGGGAGCTCGCCGACGCCGTAAGGAGGCTCTGCAACCAGCCGGTGGACGAGGGGAGCATCAACTTTGCAACCAGCCTGGGGAAGGACCTCCTGGAGGTTTTAGAGCATCAGCTCTCCCCATTCATCGGCGGCGGCCATTAACAGCTTCCCCCGTCTCTTCTCTTCTCTTCTCTTCTCTTCTTGTGGGCGGTGTATCCAGGAAGATGAGAATTTCCGTCGGTGCCAAGCCATAGCAGCTCCTTTTCTTGCTGGTGTGGCCACAAGTCTGTGGATAGAATCGTTTCAGATCATGTGCCTACCTGCATCTTAGGCAAGTTTTTAGCTGGCTTTACCTCGACGGGCATCCAACCCTCTGCGGGGAGGAAACACGCAACTCCAAGTGTATTGGATTCTACCAGATGGAATATGGTCTGCATCTCTCCCATAGGCTCTCTCTCTCTCTCTCTCTCTCTCTCTCTCTCCCCTCGTAATATAATCTGTTTGTGCTGGTCGTAGGCCTCGCAGCGGTCTGTTTGAGATTTTCTCCTTTACCTTAATGCGGAAGATCTTGTCGAAGATTTCCTTTAAGGAATATCCCGGGTAAATGAGACTTTAATTATTACCGGCCGCAGTCAGCATATACATCTGCACTAATGCATATGTATATATATATATATGTATATGTATTTTTGTACTTGTTGCCCTGAAATATCCATTCTTTTGCTGGTCATAATAATTATTAATTAATGAATAACACCGCCAGTAAAGTGGGAAAATCTTAGTCTGGTCAAGTTCCATAAATATCACTTGCGATTTCCTCCGATCCGCATTTAAAGCCGTAGATCAGATTGAACCCTGTTTTTTGACCAACCGAAGAAAATGACTGGTCGCGAACCTTCGCCTCTCTCTCTCTCTCTCTCTCTCTCTCTCTCTCTCGCCGTTAGAACAACAATGATCAAATGTTGCTATTGATCAAAAATCTGTGCAGACGATATCATTCCTGAACAAAGTCGGTAGGATGCGCAGAAATTTATGTGAGAAGGATCAGGTGATCAGGGCAAGAAAGGGAAAGAGGAGGAGGGGGAAACAATCGGCGTTCTTGGCGAAGAGGGATGAACGGGATCGGTAAGATGTGCAGAAATTTAAGTGAGGGTGATCTGGTTGATCAGGGCAAGAACGGGAGAGGGAGAGGAAGGAGAAGGTGGGAGACATTTACAGGTACGGGGAGGCGATATTCCGGATATCGGAAGGCATGAGAGCCAGCGCCAAGAGAACCACCAATATGCCGATGGGGACCAGCAGCAGGAGCAAAGGCGGCGGCTGCAGCGGGGGCAAGATGAGCGGAAGGATCAGCAGAGAGGCCGTAAGACAGAAGAGCACAAGGAAGGACTCCGCCGTGAAGTAGCCTGCGGGGACGGCCTTTCCCGGTCTTGGCCGAGGCGGCGGTTGCGTCGCCTTCTTGCTTCCCTGCGCACAGTGCCGCGCCGCCGCCGCCGCCGTCGTGGCCCTCCTCGCTCTTGCTTCCATGGCGCAAAAGCTCCGGCGGGAGGAGACTATGCAACTCCGCAGGTCCCCTCGGAGCTCAAAACTCATCTAAAACAGCCTTCCGGAAGATCCCACCCGCCGCACTGTGCACCCGGGGTCTCCGATGACCTGCAACCGCTCAGCTCCGTCGAGCAGGAAGAGCGTCCGCCGTCGGCCGGCGAGGCACTCCTAGACGGAGCTCCACTGCATTGGCCATCCACCGAGCCTGAGAACCAGGAGAGAAGGCATCGCCCAAAACTCTCTCGGATGTGCCGTCGATGTTGAAATGACGGTGCCTTACAAGACAGGCGCAGGGGGAGGGGGCTGCACCTCCTGCTAGTCTGAAAGACAACAAAAAAAAAGAAACTGGAGCGAGAGAGAGAGAGAGAGAGAGAGAGAGAGAGAGGGAGGGAGGAAGGGTGGGGGGAGGTCTTATTTCATGGGTGACGGGGGTGGGTCGGATGGCGATGAAGAAAAAGAGCAGTCACTGCTGTCGCCGCCGCGACCATGTTCACGGGTCGACGGAGGCTTTCATGGGCAGATTCGCCGCACCCCGGGCGAGGTGGGCTACCACCTCCCCGCAAGTGGGCTGCGTTAGTGTTGTTCTCCTTTCAAGGTTCTCCTCCCCTGGCCTCAAACTCTCTCTCTCTTCTTTCCTACAACTACTGTTGCCGTGGGGTCGCCCTCTTTTTTAGCTGATGTAGACCTCTCTCTCTCTCCCTCCCCCAACACCCTCATGTTTCTCTGTCCGGATCCCCGCTGGGTAGAAAAAGGGAGAAAATAGCAGAGGGACCTTCGCCCACAACTCTCCTTTCCTCCTTTTGCGCTGTGACAGGAAGACCGATCAGACCCAAGAGCACAGGTTCCATCTCCACGATGGCGCAAAGGGGTGAGTTGGATTTAGGGCAGAAGATGTCTCCTGGTGGCATCGTTCCTCAACTCGTCGGAGACGGAGGAATCTCCGTTTCGTTACCTCCTCTGTATCGAAATTACTTGAGCACGCGTGATGTTATTCCCGCATCTTCCATCCGGGAGAGAGAGAGAGAGAGAGAGAGAGAGCTGGCAATCCATCCAAGTACGCCCTTTTTCGACAATTAATGGAGGAGGAGAACAGGGAGTCAGTCGCTACGGCGGCGGCGCTCGACGGCGACGTCGGGCCGCCGATGGGCATTTATGGTGCTGGATATCTTCTGGGTAGGACATTGCTAGCCAGACCCACCCGTCTCCTTCCTCTAACCCCCCCCCCCCTTCCCACGGAAGCGGACCCAATTCCGGCGGAGATCCCGTAGATCTCCTATGATCGCTCACTTCAAGTCGTCCTCTCCCCGGACCGAGTCGTACCGTCCTCCTCTGACCAGCCGACGACTCGCGAGGTCTCCCCGCCGGCCACGTATGCAATCCCGGCAAGCACAGGGAGACATCCAGCTCCATCAATTCTCGGCCGCAGAGCAGGAGGAAGAAAAACGAGAAGAAGACAGACACCTTTTTAAGCGGGTCAGTGACGAGGGCGGTGACGAGGCCTCCCCCTATCCGCTGTCCCTCCGGTAGAGGTGGACGCCTGGCATCCAATAAATGACTTTGATACCGATCTTGCTGATTAAGAAGCAATAGGTTTTTTTTTAAGAGGAACATGTGTGAACAGGAATTAATAACAAATTCAGTATATTCTTATGTTAAATTTATGTTTAGTAAAATATAAATTACCATGTAATATATTTAGAGGAGATAATGAATGGGCCGACTGGACCTTGTCAAGCCCAGTCCGGACAAATGCAAGGGCCCAATCCCAACCTGGACCGGCTCAAGTGGAAAATTGGCTGATTCAGACCGAGCCCAAATTTAGTTTCGATTCATCAGCTCGGAATATTTCTCAACAAAGTGGGTTAATCTATTTTCTATCTCGTATGCGAGGAGTTGTTAATGGGCTGATAAAGGAAAGTTCGGCCTCGTCTGGCTCTTAAATGGGCTGGGCCAAGAAAAATACTCCCAACTTTATATGGATCGGCATGTGGGCTTTCAAAAGCCCAATATGATACGGACTCTCGGTTACACGTTTACTGGTAATAGGCTTGTGAAAATAAATATTTATTTGACTTTTGTTTATTTAGATAAATTGACTCACCATGGTTGTGGTCACCGGTTCGGTGGTAGTCACCGCCGGGTAGAAAACGCGGCTAGGGGCTGAGAGTTGCAGCGCTCACCCTTTGCTGATACGGCCCATTTTTCTGAAGGAAGAGGGCCGGGTTTGGGCATCGAGGAGTCACAGGCGCGGGAGAGGCTGCTGCGCCTGGAGACGGCTTCCACGGGAGGTAGCGGAGATGCTCGAGAACGCCGCCGAGAACGTCAGGCGATACGCTCCTCCATCGCAAAGGCAATGTTCCTGTCTGCTCAACGCTCACCTCCTTCCCCTTCACGGCATGGTTCTCCTTTGAATGGCGCGCTTTCTCGTCGCCCGCCCGTTTTCTCGGGACCGGGAGTATTGGCTCATCTTTCTGCATGCCTGGTTCCTTGATTATCATCGTCGACTTGGTTTGTTAGGGTTTGGTCTTCCTTTCTACCTGGATCGCGGATGTTCTTATTTTCGTTTATTCCCTTTCCAATGGCCTACGAATCAAGTGGAAGTTACGCCTCCGCGAGGTTGTCGTTTTTCTGCTGATCCTATTCACCGATCTGCAGCTGACATACTTTGGGTGACTTTGTTCCAGGAACCGTGCGCTCGGTCGACGAAAATCTGGAGGTGGGTTGCCATGTGCATCCTTCTGTTCTGATTCATTGTGAGCAGTGTATGTGGATCTCGGCACAATATGTTGCTAAAGGGGGAACTCATTCTGCATGGAAATACTAAACCGCTCTATTTTCTTGTTTGGCTAGTCTTAATACTTTACTTTATAAAAGCATTACGTGGTCCATTAACCAAAAAATCCTTTTCACCTCTTCCGAGTTTGGGCAGCCTCAGTTGCATAAGGAAGAGGTTTAGTACATATCCCTATTACTGTTCCCATTCGAAGCTCTCTCTCTCCCCCTCTCCCTCTTCCTCTCCCTCTCACTCTCACTCTCACTCTCACTCTCACTCGCTTTCACTTACTCTCACTTACTCACTCACTCACTCACTCACTCCCGTATTACTGTATGCTATCTTGTGCCATTGAAAATGGAAGTCCGTGCTTACCAGTTAAATTCTCTAGTCGAAGATCGATGTAGGATGTCATCGATTTATTTCACCTACAGACATGTTATCTATTTAAGAACTTTTTGCTGTATTCCCTGTATGGAAAGAAACTGGCACATATTCCTCCTGTATGGAATGAAACGCTGTGAATATGACAGAAAGAGTTTTCAGTTAATTTAAAATTTCTGTCTGTTTTCCATGGCCTCCTGCAGAGGGCATAAATTATAAAAGAGTCCCAAGTTTTTATTATCCTTTATAGTCGCCTTTTATTTTAATCGCTTTGATTTTACATTGCTATCTTTAATGGGGTGTCTTGTTGGTGTATCATCAGAGTTAGTCGGAAGCACGTGCAGCATGAATTGAATGGCAGGAATTTGCATCGTGTGCCCTGCATTTTTTTTAAAAAGCCATCCGCACCTTGTCTTCTTTTTTTTCTGATGAAGTGTCTGGCTACAATCTCTTTGTGGACAGATCGCTTCGAAAAAGTAAATTATGCTTCTGGGCACGATGGAAAGAAGAATCAATCTCATTCAAGAAATTTCCTGTCTATAGATCACGGAGAGCTTATCAACAGCAAGTATCAGAGTGAAAACCCTTATTCTTTGGCAATTCCCGTTGATGGATGCTGTAATAGTGAGGCTGCGCAATTGCTGAGTGAACGTAAGTCTGGTGATTTGCATTGTTCCATGGTTATTCCTAGATAGAAAAGTGTGCGAAATTATAAAATCATTTCTTTTAATCCCGTCCAAACCAGTTGAATAGTTTTCAGGGGCTTGCTATCCTACGAATCGTGTGCCTGGATTCAAGATATTTATCTTTAATCCTTTTCGAATCATTCTAGTTCTTCTACCTGAAGCATTTTCTTCTGTTGATAAGCTTGCCATTTTGGTGGTATGTGCTTAATAAACATTGGTTTACCTCATTTATGTTGGTTGGATAGAGCCGCTCCACTGATCTCCTTTTTCATGGAGAAATCCTTCCTGGGTTGCATTAGGGAGGAACTCGCTGATGCTGGGTAAATCTTTCTGATTTTATGGTTGATCTGAGACGTATCTCTCAGATTCAAGACGTATCTATTTTTCAGCATGAGTACCACCAGAGGAAGAAAAAGAGGGAATTAAAGGGCAGAAGAAGAAAAGTAAGAAGAATTGAAAGGGGGATAGAAGAAACTAGACTCATCTTGAGATTGCGATGATTACTTTCCCCTTCCAAGAGCTCCTTCCTGCTTAGTTATCGTCCAAATGACAGAAACGAATTGTGTGCTTACTAGGTCAAGAATTACTGAAATCCCTTCATCCACTTCTATTATTTTTACTTTTTATTTTTCAAAATACTTATCCATGAAGGCTTTATGAGCTAGAAGGATGAAGGAGGGCAGTCTTTGCTCCCTTGAACAGGTAGTGGGGAAACCGAAAAACATCTTTTTTGTCTTCCACACAATGTCATTGGGCTTAGTAAATAAATTCTTATGCTACAGTAATTAAACTAGGAGAACGAATGCGCATAACACCAGGCAAACCCAACTAGGAAGCTGATTCAACATTATATGCAATACCCAATAGCATTTGGATCTCTGGACAATACATACACTGCATTGTAAATGTTCCGATTCAAATTCGAAGAGGGTTTTTCCCACAAACATGATTGGGAAGGACGTTGGAATTGGCTTTATTTTGTTGTGAAATGCACTCATTTGATGAGTATTTACAACTTCTGTTGATTATTTGATGTTACATTCATAAAAGAAATTATTTTTCCTTCATATTTATGCAGGTTGGGCCGCTGCCATGCAATCATGTAATGACCCAGCTGTAGATCTATCTGGTGAGTGCATATTTGTACGAATTCACCATTGATTGCCTTCTTATGTTTCTTTTTTTAGTCATATTTTGTCTTTGGATCGGTTTTGGTCATAGAACAAATTTCTGTTTGGAGCGTAAATGATTGGAATATAATAGTAACCTCTAATTACACTAGTGACAGTTATACGTGCTAAATTGTATGCATGTTGTTTGCTTTTGGATTCTATAGACTCGTGCTTATGATTGAATGGCTTTGTAAGAGTCTCTTAGGTCCATAATTGCACTGGTTTTTCCCCTCTGATTTGGAGCCATTGGTGTAGAAGCTTTGAATAGAGGAAAAACATGTGGGCACACAAGATATCTTGAATTAGGATGGAAGGTATTCGGTTTTCAGCAAAAAACGTTACTTTTTTTAATTAGATCTTCCCGTTTGGGATAACGGACATGATTTCCCTGATTTACTTAACATTTTTTAAAAATCACTTGATTTTAAGATTGTATTCATTTAGATTACACAATGTTTTGATGAAAGATGTACCTTTGACCAGATACTTCTAGCATTTATTCTAGAGATCACTTATTCAGAGCTTTGTTATTTTTAAATTAAATTATTTTTTGAAGAAAAACATGCACGTCTATGTGAGATTACTTGGTAAAAAGGGTATGTTTTCATTAAAAAGTTATGGAATATATAAAAAAATCTTGAATGGAATAGATTTATGTTGTAGTACCGCATAGATAGTGCACAATTTCATTGTGAAATACTAATTTTAATTATGCAAGAAGACCCCTCTATGTGTCTGCCGATAAAAATATTAAAAATTATTCCGTCTGTGGAGATCGCACTGCATTCAAGCTGAGCGATAAAAATTGAGAGCATGGTTAACCAAGCCACATCCTCTACAACTTTCAGAGAGGAGTAACTCCTCTGCTACCTTTCATTGTTTTCTTTTGAAGCAGACAGACCAGTTATGTATGCCGGAGCCGGTGGACCAGCCTGGGGACAGTTGAACCTCCCTCATCAGGTAGTGTTTTCGTTCCCCCCTGACCTTTAAATTTCATTTCCTTTTGTGTCCCACTTTCGGGCTTCATCCCTTCCCTTCAAGTATTTTGCCTCTGCAGATGGATTTCTTGGCTGAGCTCCGGCGTGCATATCACAGCTCCCTCTCTTCCACGCCCTCCTGTGGTAGGTGAACCTTGATGAACTGGTTAATCCCATATATGCCATATGGGGCAGTACTTAGATTCTCCCCGTGTAAGAACACCTCGTGGTTTCTCTCCTTCTCTACCTGTCTCCATTTGGTGGGCTCTGATTATTTGGTACCCATTGTTTTTTGGGGGATTTGTTATGGGATTTATGCGAATATCTGAATCGGGTTCGAGGAGATTGGAAATTATTCAGAAGACATTTTATAATTTACATATGGGATGATGCTGATTAAGGAGGAATTGTTTAATGAATAGGAGCATCTAGATCAGAGTCAGGATCTCAGCTCCTCTTAAAATTCGGTAAAAAAAAAAGACGAAAGAGTGTATTTTAACGTGAAAATGAAAATTATCCGTTTAAAAGTTTTAATTTTGAGTTTAATAGTAGAATAGATGGGTATGTTTCAGATAAGACCTGAATCGACTTCAAGAACACCCGTTGACAACAGTCGTGCCCTGTTGGGCTTCGTCGTGGCTCACAAGAAGAGCGGCAGCTGCTCTGCCTCCTCGTCCAACCCGGTCGACTCTGCGAAGTTGAATCGTGGGGGGTTTTCAGCGGTGTACTATCCGACGAAGGGGTCGCCGGCGCCGGCGAAGGCGCTCTACTACGAGAAGGATTCTTCCCAGCGCTGAAATTTCGAGGTCTCTAGCGGGCGCGGGGAAGAGCTTCTCTGTCTCTCTCTCTGGCGGGCCCCGGCGCCAGGAAGCTTTGCGTTCCTCCCGTGAGCTCCACCTCTCTCTCTCTCTCTCTCTCTCTCTCTCTCTCTCTGGGGGCTTCCTTGGCGAACTCCTCGCGGTGAATGGGAGTTTACTCATCAACTGTTTGTCGTAATTCCCAGCAGATCTTTCCCTCGCGCAGAAGGGTGTAAGAAGCTCGACACTCTGTTCCCGATTTCTTGATTATTTCTCGTCTTTTTTATCGCTCAGAGTGGAAGAAGAGCGGGGGAAGGAGTCTGCCCCCCGAAGACCACCTTGTTGCTCTCTCTCTCTATGGCGCTGCAGAGCCCTCTCGGCACTGCGTTTTCTGCTCCACTGCTGAAAGGAGACGCCTCCGCTACTCCGGCGAGCTTGCCCGCGTTGAAAGCCGCACACAGGAACCGCCAGACTCGGATATTATCCTCTTCAAATCACAGCAAGCTGCTGCCGTCTTCCCGCCTGGTACGTTCCCCTCTCATCGGATCCGGATTTTCGACGTGTTTTCCCAGTAAGATATTATTGCCCGTGACGCCGTTTCTGAGAAAGGTTAGAGCTTCCAAGATGGCCGGGGAGGTCGAGTTCTCCGGCAGCTCCTCGGACGAAGAGAGCGACGCAGCCACTGCCGGGGCCACGAGGGGGGCTGATCCTTTCCTCATGGATGACGAAGAGAGACTAGAGTGGAGGAGGAAGATCCGCCAGGTGATCGATGCAATCCCAGATGTCGAGGAGGAGGCTGACCAAGAGGAACGGGGGAGGAAGATGCAGAGGCTCCTGGCGGAGTACCCGCTGGTGGTGGAAGAGGACGACCCCGACTGGCCCGAAGATGCGGACGGCTGGGGTTTCAACTTCGACCAGTTCTTCAACAAGATCACCATCAAGAACGTGAAGAAGGACGACGACGATGAGGATTACGACAGCGACAAGGAGATCGTCTGGCAGGACGACGATTACATAAAACCCATCAGGGATATTATAGCCGAGGAATGGGAGGACATGGTCTTCAAGGATTTCAACCCCCTGGTCATCCTCGTCCACAACAGATACAAAAGGTTGGATCTTCTGTCTCTTCTCCTTCCTCCACTCCTGCAACTTCTCGCCGTATCTAGCAGAACCCGCCGCTCAGGGATCTTCCATGGCTTCCCTCCTCTTGACCCAGGCCTGGGGAAAACGAAAGGGCCCGTAGCGAGCTGGAGAGAGCGGTCCACATGTTCTGGGAGAGTAGACTCCCCTCACCCAGGGTACATATTTCCTGCCGGAATCTCCTCCGCCGCGCGTATCGGTCCTGGATTATCACTAATCTTCATGGCGGTGGGCTTTTATTTACAGTGCGCCGCTGTGGACGCCGTCGTCGAGCAAGATCTAGCCTCGGCTCTGCGTGTCTCCATCTTCCCGGAGATCATCTTCACGAAGGCGGGCAAGATCCTTCATCGCGACAAAGGTACGAGCAGCCCCTCTGCACCATATATGTCTGATCCTCGGTCGCTCCATACTTTTGCAATCCTCTTCATCGCCGCCTTGGCCGCCCCTGATCAGTGGTCCGGACGGCGGATGAGTGGTCGAAGATGATGGCGTTCTTCTACTACAAGGCATCCCGCCCGCCATGGCTGGACAAGACCGCGGGCCAAAGTCAAGAGAAGATCCCTTCCCTCCCATCAGAATAGCTGCTCATCTGAGGCAGCTCGCCCAGCTGCAAGGATCTGATCATAGAAGAAGGTCCGTAGCCTAAAGGGTTCACTGTGAAGAGTTTTGATTTCCAGAGGTCGACATGTGGCCAAGAAGCGAATGTAATCACTCCATCTCTCAGAATCTCCTCCATTTTGACTTTAACAGTCTCTTGTTTAAAAAGAAAAAAGAAATTCGATCTTAGTCAGATCTGTAAAAATGACCGAAGCAGTCCCAGAGCGCAGCTCAGCTCAACCAGGTTGCATGCTTGCAGCATTTGAACCTCGAAACCAACATGCTAATAAACGTAGGCCTTGCACAAGAGTGGACTTCAATCGGCATTGGCCTAGTATTTCAAGCCCATTTCCTAGTATTTTTTTGGGTACAAACCCATCTGTATGGGAAACTTGAATGTATTTTAGTTTTTAATTATAAAAAATCATGATCATTTAATTATAAACCTTTATAAAACGCTGAATTTAGAGATACATCCCTTACCTATTTACTCAATGCTGCAGATCTCTATAAGGTACTCATAATGTAGAAATTTGTTCCTCAAGTTAACCACAAAAGAATATTCTTTTTAAAATATTTGGCTTTAGCTTAAAGTATTTCACTAGTATTTCTTCTTAAAAGGCAATGATATTCTTCATAAAATGGAACTTGTATGTTAAATAGTGAAATTTGTTAAAATATATATTATTATTAGTAAGATACATTATATGATGCTTAATGATGTATCTAATGTAAGGCAACACATTTTAGTTATTTCAACAAAGTCATAAATTTTGCCACTGAATGTCCTGACCTAACTTTTCCCAAGCCTAAGTAAACCTCTCAAGTAGAGTTTTGATAACTTGTTAGAACTTCGATAGGCTGACTTATCTAAGTTGATCTAAAGTGACCTTGGAGGACTTGAGGACAACAAATGTAGTCTTGAGGGTGGGGTGGATACACTTAATCTTGAGTTGAATTTTGATTCATATTTCAGTAGATTGTAACCTTTATGATTATCTCCTAATTATGTGGATTGACAAATTAGTGATCTACTTGTATCTTGCATTTAAGAATATAATGGAATAAGAGTAAACATGTTTTATTAATACTACATGGATTATGGTGTATAAAATTAGAGTATGTAATCTAATTGATATAGTCTATTAAAATTTTAAATTATGTGTGGTGCAAAAAGTGTTTTTTATTGATTTATAAAATGACATTGATAAGTCTTCGTTATTATGAGTTAATAATTAGTAAATAATATAGTTTTAGCCTTAACTCATGATAAATAGACTTATATTTGTGTTAAAGTGTGAAAAATAGTTTTCAATTGATTAATATGAATTTTTGGGTACTTATGTGATTTTACACGAGTTTGTATGATTTTTATAATATTACTTTTGAGATAAATAAAGAAAAAAAATGCAAAATAAAAATAAAAAAAAACGAGGGAGACCTGCCGAACAACCAAGTCGAAAGCTCAGTTGGAGAGTAACTGCGAGCAAGGGCTCTAACGGCTTGAATTGATAGGGCACGTGTGCGCCACTCCCCTTTCATGTCAGCTCAGTTGGAGAGTAACTGCGAGCAAGGGCTCTAATGGCTTGAACTGATAGGGCACGTGTGCGCCACTCTCCTTTCATGTCACTAGTGGCCAGCCGACTATGAGGCAAGGAGTAATCGTACACATGAGAAAAGGGGCTTGCTTAGAAAGGAATGCAACATTAGTATATATTCATTCGAAAATTCAACACACAACTGATGTGGGACTAAACCCGTGTCACACCTTCCTCAGAAAGGGTGGGCAACTGATGTGGGTTCAAATATTTCCAAAGTCAAAACTCATATTTTTTTTATCTGATTATATAAAAGATGTATCTAGACATTGTAGTTCTCCATTTCATTCTCCTTTAATGTGTGGTAATTTACTTGTAAAATGAGATTTTTAGCATCAAACATTTGGTTACAATAATTATTAATATTTAGAAATATTTTAGTTAATTATCACATTAGCACCTAAAATACAACTTTATAAAATATTTCTTATTCTTTTCAAAATCAGAAGAAATAAAAGTATTTGGAATTTTTTTATGTCATTTGTTACATTATGTTTCTTTGAATTTGCTTTCAAAAGGTACACCTATGATAAATTAAAAATTATTTCTATATACTTGATTTCAATTTGACTAATACTTTCATGAGGCCAATCCTCAAATTTTATTTACCATGATTTTGATGATCAAGTTAGTCATAAAAGCATCTTAATAATTTACTTTGATCAATTCAATACATAACTTGAAGTATGTTAGTCTCAATTGTGGACTACATGAAATATTTCTAATGTTTGTCGAATAAAGAATCTAATTTAATGCAACAAATTTATATGATGACTAAAATATTTTAATGTATTGAATTTACCGAAATGAAATACTAAGACGTGTTTTATGACTTCATGGTAAATAAACATTTGGGGACCAAATTGAGGAATGGCCTCATCAAAACATTAATCAAATTGAAATTACAAATTGAGGAATATTTTGATTCCAAGTAAACATTTTAATTGAAGTTCAACAAACGAATTCAACGATTAAAATATTTAATCCACAATTGATAAAAAATTATCTTTACTACAATCATAGAAATGTTATTTGAACTTATGTGATGTGCACAATTAAAGTAATCATTACAAGTTCAATGACTAAAACTTATGATACATAATTTTCTTAAAGTTCATCAGTTAAAACCTTTAATCAATTATCAATAAAACATTTATAGATCATAAAATTCAGGTTGATTAAATTTAAAATCTTATCATCAACAAATTGAAGGTTGTAAAAAATACAACTATTTTTTTTTGAAATATCAACAAGCAAGTAGGTCATGTGAGTGGGTCTATTAGAGATACACAAAGATAAAGTTACACATTAATCTGAACCAGGAGGTATAATAGTGGAACTCAACCCTGTTATCGAATTAAAGGATAAATCAATCTAACTTACCCTGCTCCACTAGAAAGAGAGAGAGAGAGAGAGAGAGATCTAATTATAAATTGCATAAATTAGAATATGGAATTAAGATGAATTAACTTAGTTAATCCCAATGGGGTAGCAAACCAGCCTGAGGGATTCGTCTAAGTTAATTTCATATCTATTATCAGAGGAGTGAAAATGCAAGTATTAATGATTTAATTCACCGGGCTGATTTTAGATGAGATTTCGAGGGGCTTATATGTAAATCTGAGAAAGTACGTCAGTCATAATTAAGGATATTTTTGAGGGTTAAAACGTAAACGTCGTCAAAAAACTTTTTTCTCGTTTACACCAGGTTACGCTTGTCCAGCGTAAGGTTTTATCGGAGAGGAAGCCGAGCTGGGAGGCGAAGGCCTTTTGGAATACGCCTTCCTCGTCCCCCTCGATCCACTGGGATTTATTGCCACTCGTCTCAGTCGTCATATTCTCGATCTCCTTTTTCCAGTTCGCGAGTTTTGTTGATTTCGTCGATCACTTCACAAGCGAAGGGTCTCTCTGAGACTTCAGACGTTCTGTCTGGAGTTCCCCAGAAGCTGGAAGGTGAGGATGGATGGCAACCGAAATGGGAGGCCCCGAATGAAGGTCGTTAATTCTCCCCATTGGAAGGAGAAGGTATCTCCAGAGTTATCGTCTATTCCCTTCCGTTTGCTCTGTGCAATTGCTTCATGCCATCAGTGTCTAAATTATTTTTTGGGTCAATTTTTTTTGCAGCTCAGGGAGAACTGTCTGAGAAGAGTTCGGGAAGACAGAGCTCACTTGCTTTGGAAAATTAGATTGTCGGAAAGCCAGGAACCGGATCCGAAGGTTCCCTTTGTTATTAATTTTGATAAATTTATATTTTTAAATGATAGTTTATATATTCTCTCTTTAGAACAATCCTCGATTATCGGTTTCCATGGGTGGAAGTTGGACATATCACCTTTAAGATGGACTTGAATAAGTGCCCTCCCCGCCCATGGTTATTAGGATAGTTTATTAGGCTCACTTGGATCTAATAATGAACTAGAAGCTTTAATAAATCGTTAGTTTTCCTATATACCGCACGAGTTACTCTTGTTCTGAACATCTTCACATAGAGAATAATGTTTTTCCTACCGAAATAGAGACAATTTCAAATATTTTTTGTGCATGGGTCTCATTGTAGTACGGTTTTAGCATTAAAGAGATGGTACATGGTAATCTTAGTAGCTATTAAAGGCACATGGATAATTATTTGATCAAACCTTTCATGAGGGCAAGGTGACAAGAAAGAGAAGGCTGAAAAGCCATCCAGGCAGAAGTACGCTAGTACTCAAGTAAATTTGACACGCTCTTAAATTATTTTCTCTTCACTCTCTGTCAGTTTGCAATCACCCAACCCAAAGCCGCTGTCGCAGGTTTTCAATAGTTTTTTGGCGTATTTCTATTTGTGGGTAGTTGATAGTCATAGTTCATCTGTTGTTGAGGGTAAACATGAGGAAAATGAAATTCAAAATCAAAAGGCTATCTGAGTCAAAATAAGCCTTGTAACCTTAACGATGACACGGTTCAATTTCATAATAATGTCCAGCATGTTTTTTTCTGTTGCATCAAATGCATTGCCAGTTGGCGTTCTATTTTGCGATGTGTGTCAACTTCTTTGAGAGTGCATTATTTTTCTTATGTGAGCCTGTAGTCTCAGTGATATCTTCATTGGATTTCCCTTTTTGTTTATAGGAAACAGTAGAATCTGCTTTCAAGGGGATAGTTGCCGCCGAACTAAATAAAATTAAAAAGTCAACTCTGAATGATCGGACTGAAATTTTGGCATCCGACTATGATGATTTGTTATGGGAATACAATGATCGTCAAATGAACCACTCTTCAGCTGAAAGCAACTACGAGGAGCTTTTAATAGAAATGGAAAATCTCCTGTATGAAGATATGAAGGAGGAATTGATTAGAAAAGGTAATATAGGATCTATAAGCACATGAACAATATGTTCTTCATTTTCTATTAATTGGATGTTGCCGGTATTACGAAGGCACTTTTCTTCCGAGAATAAACTTCAGATTGAGAAAATTGATCACAATTATGATTACTATAGATTGTTCCATATGCAGATTGCCGGGCCTTTTTACAGGTTTTTCGATGATTCTCTTGCCATTATCATGATCCTTACCGTTTTTTGTGCAGAACTTGAAGTCTATGAAGAAGAGGACGAGTATCTAGCCAAAGCAGTATTTGAGCACATGCAACTGAATGATGGGGAGGTATCTGAATAAATTTATGTAGTAGTATGTTGTATATGGAATTTTTCTTTGAATCTGTTATGAATATAGTTAATATATCCGTATATTGCGAATTATGGAACATCAATTTTCTTACATCATGTTCTCTTCAGAGTTCAATGAATGCTCATTCATGGAACCCGTTCAATTAACAGCTGTATGAAAATGGGACGGGAATATGTTCAGATTAGCAATGAGATAAGCCGTCTTCCCTTGCAGCGGTCTAGGATCTAGAACAGTGGAAAAAAGGACTACCAATGAAATGCCAAAGGTCTCATGAGCTCTATCAATCTATAAACAACGTAGGAAGATGCTTCTACTAGATTAGGCTTCAGATTATGGCCAATCGGGAGGTTAGACTGGTGATTGCAGTCATAATGCCTTCGCTTCTTTGTACCAGCTTGTAGAATATTGGATTATGGCTATGGGTTTATCTCCATCCTGCCGGGTTGTGTTGTTTATTGGATAGACTACGTACTGTTTGAATTTTGTCCCTAGACCGAAAAGAGAGACACCATTTGGTGCCCAGTCTGCAAGCGAGGAGAGCTACGAGAAGCCCATCATCTCATTTGCTGCACCGGCTGCAACCTTCATCTCGACCTTGGAGACGACAAGGTGCTACTCATCATTCTTTGCTCCCCGTTTTTTCTCTATTTTCTTCTAATTCGTTCAAGTAATTGGTCGAGCACGATGGTTACCACGTGCTGGGCGTCGGAGATCTGGGCAAAGCTCTTCTCTCAGAACTTGCGGCGGTGTAGTTGCTGCCATGGGAGGCCTGGGTTGGGCTCCTCCCAGTTCATCTCCACTCTAAAGATCTCTGGTGCAGGTGAATCTGGATTTCCTGCGTAATCGGCTGGGTGAAGTCCACGAGGAGCACCTCGATAAAGGATGCAGAGCAACGCCATCATTTTTCCTAGAGACCGGATTCGGCTTAACTGCGTTATATATTCGATGCCAGGCTTGTGGTACCTTCGAGATCATAGTATGACCTCGTCGAGATCGCTGTGCAGCACCGGCAGTCTGCAACTGTTTCAGACCTGGTTCATTCCCTCGCCTAATGTAAAGAACGACACCCATCTGCTGATTCTCTCAAATGGAGAGCCGAAAATTCTAGCTGGCATTATTGTAACGCTTCTTACTTTCAATGGGAAGGTCGATGTTTGAAGCCGTGGCGGCGTATTATGTCAGTCTTTAGTCAAAATAAGGCCTCCCTCCACGAAGGCATATCGGAAGTCTCGAGTCAAAGCCAGAGTCCTTGGTAATCAGAAGGATGGAGGCATAATCGCGGTTCTCGGAATTGTTCAGCGCAGTTTCTGGTCAAGAGGAAGGGGCGACAATGGAGGGGCACGGTCGTGAATGCCTGGCGAAGTAGATTGCTACAGGAAGCGCAGAGGCAAGATGAGGCTGTCGTCGGGGAGAGGGAATTGACCAGTCAACTTTGCCGCCTCCGTCGTCGCAATGAGTACTCCAACGGAGACAAGCAAAAGTTCAATGTTCCGAGTCATCGGCAGAAGAGAACCGGAGGTGACGTGGCTTTTCCAAGGAAACGCCGGCTGCTGGGTTATTTAAGCGGGTGGTGTTCCTCAATGGGCCAAGCCGGAGAGAGAGAGAGAGAGAGAGAGAGAGAGAGAGAGAGAGAGAGAGAGAGAGCTCTCATCATCCTCCTGTTATCACTCCCGATATTTTCCTTCTCCCAGTTCTCTCCTCGCTCATGGAAGATCTCAAGAAGATTTCTCCGTCGGAGATCCCTCTCCACACCTCCAGGAAGAACTGCTGGGTCGTCGTACACGGGAAGGTACTCCTTCCTCTCTCTCTCTCTCTCTCTCCCCCTCCTCACCATGAACTTGACAGTAACCATTTTTTTCCTCGGAAGAGCAGGTTTATGATATTACCGAGTTCTTGGACGATCACCCGGGGGGAGATGACGTTCTTCTCCACGCCTCGCGATCTGGGGATGCTACGCAGTCGTTTGAGGACGTGGGTCACAGTTCCGGAGCGAGGAAAAAGATGGCAAATTATCTGATCGGGGAAGTCGAGGGCTACGATCACAACAAGGACCCTATCGCACGGAGGAGCTCAAAGACAGTATCCGACGGAGCCCAGCCGGTAGCATTCCAGAATTCTTCGTCCGGCTTGAAAAGTTACGCCTTGCCCCTCTTCCTCCTGTTTATCGCCATCGCTTCCTGGTACTTTGACAAGCTCCAGAAGGCTGCTCCTTGAAGAGCGGCGGGGCTATCAGATTCAGGATCGAAACCTCCCGACGGATTCCAGCCGGTGGAGCTCAGTTCTTCTTTTCTTTTGTTTTTTTCTGGAATAAAATTTTGGCATTCAAAGCCATGGATTCATGGGTGAGAACTCCTTTGATAAAGGATATAGTAGAATCCATCTGATCCTTGCTAAGATATGGGGACCGACGTTTGCTTTCATCTTCTTCTTCGTGTCGTTCTTCTGAGTCCATCAAGTGATTGGTTGGGTATTCCGTCGTGGCTTTTGAGCCCATAAAATGAAACCAAAAAGTCTTGAAAATGGAGGAAATTCGTAGAGGGCCTTTTGAGCCCATCAAATGGTGCCTGGTCGCACCACTACACGCTGGTCCTTCGTGTACGTTCACATGCTTGCTTCTCGAAGAGAAAGGACTGAATCTTGGGGTTCGTATTCACAGGTAATATGGTACCTCTGTTTCACAACGAAATGTCTGTTTCAGATCGTTCCTCTCTCTCTCTCGCCATGCATTACAAGGTCTACAGAGACGACACCCCCGCGAAATTAATTTAATCAGTTTCACCTCGTTGGGTTCGAAGTACTTTCAGTAGGGAAGAGATGAACGAGTATGACCCGCGAGGGCGGCTTCAGGAAAGAGGAGGAACCCAATTGGTAGACGGCGCCGACACTCGAGAGCCGACGGCGCCGACACTCGAGAGCCGACGACTGGGCGAGATTTCCTGCCCCTTCCCATCCCCATCCTAAGAGATCGAACGCTCGTAAGGAAGCTGATCTGGGTCAAGCGGAGGAGTGTTCACGCATCCCGCAGAAGGTTGTAAACTTGAAGGAAGGAGATGAAAGGGCACGGATTTGTTAATCAATACGAGGCTCAATCGACTCAATTTATTACGGGTTCCAGGGCTAAAAGCACGTTTCAAGACGCCTTTTTATTCTGGATCGCTCTGCGTTAGATCTGGGCTTCGAGGAGATCAGACTTGGAAGCTTTTATTGCATTTAACGACGATCACCCATCCGGCAGAAGAGGACAACGCCAGACGCCTCCCATAAAGACACAGACTCGTCTTTAACTATAGATCTCGATTCGTCTCGGCGTACTCCTGCGTTCGCAGTTTTAAAATCACATCCAAAGTTTTTTATTCAGACTGCATCTCGGTCAGATCTGGGCTCTGAGAAAATCCGACTTCGCAGCTTTTTACCCCATTTGCCGACAATCATCCGCGCGAAACTCTAGTTACTTCCTTCGCAACAGCAGCAAAGAGAATGCTGGGCTGAGCCCAGTCATCGTCGGGTCCATCCTGAACTCAGCAAAGGAAGAGTTCTCCTCTTCGCAGCCCAATCATCGCAAGGTCCACCCCGAAGTCACCAAGGGAAGAGTTAACCCCAAGCTGGAGGCAGTGACCACCGGCGATTACTCGCAGAGAACATCAAGGCGTTAATTCCCACGGATGACTGCTCCTCGTTCTCACGCCTCCATCTCCTAACAGTCTTCTCTTCGTCGGGTCCTCCGCCGTTCATCTGGGAATCCTTGGATCTTTTCTGAAAAACTGTGGGTAAATGCATGTGGAGGAGTCTTGCAAGGAAGAACTACAGACGGCCACATCATTTCACCTGCGCCGCTGGCGTCCTTGTCGAACAGTCATGGGGACTAAGAAACAGAAGCCCAATCTTCGAAGGCACCGTTCATTCGATCCTTTAGCGGAAGTCAACCCCCCGTCCACCATCATCTCTGCATCATTTAGAAATCATCGGGGGAGTGTCGATCCGTTACCCAACGACCCTCCATTCTCTCGTCCTTCTCCGCTCCGCTAGCATGGAGGGGATCATTCCCTACGTTTACAGAGAAATTAAGAGGCGAAGGACTCGAAGCCGCTACGTGTGCCTCTCGTCGGAAGGAGCACAGAAGCTCGGATCCACCGACTTCGGGACAGCGGGTGCCGCCTGCCGCCTCCCCCAGCCGCCGGAGACGGCGGGGGGATTCCACGGGGAGAATGTTCATGGGCACCGCAGGCACAGGTCGATGGAGGACTTCTCCGTCGAGCTCTCGCAGGATGGGTACGCACGGGAGCTGCCTCTGGGCAAGGGGGCCAGCTTCCGGAGCAGCCGCATGTTGCCCTTCATCGCCGGCGCTTAGTGGCTCGAGAAATCGAAGAGGAGGAAGGTGGTGACCCCCTTTTGCTCCAGATTGAACCCCTCTTCGGGTCAGATTGAACAACTGGTTAGAGCAATATGAATGAGATGGATGTTCCCCGCCGTCGATTCTCTCGCAGCAATGCTCTCTCTCTCTCTCTCTCTCTCTCTCTCTCTCTCTCTCTCTCTCTCTCTCTCTCTCTCTCTCTCTCTCTTTAGGATTCGATTTCTTTGAGGTCGTTCCTGCAGTGGAAGCGTGTGTTCCTCATATTAGGGGCAGATAAATGAATAATATTTCAATCTATTAATGTATAATTTCTGTAAACGAGGCTATTCTCTGTCCTGCAACACACCAACACGCTGGTGGGAGATGAAGCAAGATCAGAGTAAATCAAGCTTTCGCTGCTTCAAGTTACATGAGGCTGCAACGTTGCTGGTGCCGTCAATAATTATCACAATGATGCACATGGGAAAGCATATGAATTGCACAAAATATGGCTAGATACATGGTTTTAACCTGTTCCTCGTTGGCTCTATGCAGGTACCCTACACCCAAACGGGGGTGCTGTGTTTCTGTGTAGTGTGTATGTGTGTGTATGGAGGAGAGGGAGATAGAGAGCAAATCGACCCTTTTATATACTATGGGGGGTTCTACTTCCAGGGAAAAAAGTGAGCTTCTTCACCAGAAATGACCTTCAAAAATGGCTTCCGGAGTCTAGAAAACGTGGGTTGGCCGCCATTAGAGAAGAAGCATCCTGAGAGAAGAAAACGTGGGAGTTTCTTCTCCAGAGAAGAAGCATCATGAGAGATGAAGGGCCATCTGCTGAAGAAGCATCGTCTTCTGAGAAGCGTTGATGACCCCACTGCTCTCAGCATTCACCAGCACATCCGTCACTATCGCCGCCACATGCCCAGTGGGCTCTTCCGATGCCTTTCTCAGCATGAACACCTGCAAATCAAGCACCGAGACTCTCAGAGTCACCCCTCATAACAGCATGCTAGAGGTTGGGATGCAGGATAGCCACTGGCTTACTTGTCCATGGTGCGTAATCTCCAGACAGCCGGGTTGCTGGATCCACGGTTCGCCATCAATCTGAACAGGGAATGGGTTCCGAATGTTGACTCTGACTACTCTGCCTTGAGCCAGTCTTGTCGCCTGTGAAAGGCCGACCTGTAGAAAATGGGTCAAACCGAAGAATAACAGGCATTGAGAACCATGCTTTGAAAACTACGTGATGAATGAACTCTGTAGAATCGGACTCCAACCCATGCAGAACTGGGCGAGAAGGTGTTCAGCTCTCAGAGCGCCATCATATATATATATATATATATATATATATATGGCATACAGAAATGGGTCTTTTTCTGAGGAAAAGGGGTGACCTGAAGCTTTCCGAGCTGCCATGTTCCAGATATGCAAACAATTTCGAGGGCCTTATCGTGCATAGACTGCAGCCCAAAGTCGTCATCGTGGTCATAGTCGTTTTGCCATAAATCTACGCCGCCCATATAGCTTCCAATGTTGAGTATGAGTACGCCTTCAGCATCCTGAGAAGAGAAAAGAAGCTAAGAGAGAGAAAATTAAAGAAATAAATCGGAAAATTATCCTTCTCTTGTCGTCAAAGAGGGACAAGAGGACCTGCAATCTTACCTCTGGGATTTCGATCTCACGGCCATCTACTTCGAGGTTCACTTGCCACGGTAGATCCGCACATGTCCTGTCCACTATATCCTTTGCGCCTTCCTTAGCATATCGAAGCTTGTTGACAAACTGCAACACATCAAAGCAATTACTCGCAAGATTCTACCAAGGAAACAACATTACAAGATGGAGATTTTAGAGGGGACAATGGATGAATCTGGCGAGGAATTAAGATTCTATTTTTCTCATGAGAACATTTGGAGAAGATACCCACGAAAAGGTCCGTGTGATTCTTCTTTTTTGATAAAATTAATTAACACCGAACATTCACAATTCAAAAACCATGATGCTTATCGTAGAATAAGGTCCAGAAAAATAAGATTTAGTGAATATGAAAATTTAACACACATTCAAACTGAATCTCTCGGCTCTGGTCGTTGACCAATCCCTTGGAGTTTTATGTAACTGTGGTACATTTAACATATAAGGACCAAAGTCAAGCATTCTGCCCCTTTCCCTACTAAGGAGTCACAGGCATATTTAACTCGCGTATTTTTCTATAAAAAAACCAACTGATCGACCCAAAACTTCAAAAGCTCCACACAAAAAATTAAAAAAACGACTTATTTTCAGGTTTTCTTCGAAGAAGGGCCCTGAAATTCGTCTGTTACCGCAATATGCTGGCTATGCAAGGAAACAAAGACTTAAAAAAATAAAAAAAATAAAAAAACCAAAATGGGGCCAGTTCCACCACTGTTAAGATGTCCTTTAGGCAGTTTTTCTGATGGCTACACGCAGAAAAAGGAAGTTTTGATTGTCGGAATATGCTAGAAAGAGGGCTATTGGATCGAAAATATTTAAATGATTGACATGGAGGGTGAAAAACAGAGGACTTGTGATTATATTGACCTTTTGGTTCTTATAGGGTACACTACCGATGACAGTTGCAACCTCATACGAGGAAATTTCTTATCCCGAAGGATCTCCATAAAAGTATATCATTACCTATCATTTTTATGGACATCTTGAATGAATCTACGCATGGTTAGAAGGCTGAATACACCAATGTCCCCTGACCCAGAAGAAGGTTTACTTTGGACACAAGGCAACAAAGGTATGCAGAATGGAAACCCCTAGCTTGTGCTAAATTTCTACGGCCTGACAGACTACAAGTAGAAAACTCCATGAATTATCATATTTCTCACCAAGAGATCGTAAACAGATGTCGCAAAAGAACACATCTTGTGACATGAAGGTGATTCTCTGGTCAAAAATGTGATGATAGAATCTCGTAGTTCCTCAGAGCAAGAAACTGAGAAAGGTTCACCTTGACAATCGCAAGTAAAAAAAACTGTAAGGAGAACATGCCACACCTGGCTGGAGAACTTATCAGGCCTCTCCTCCCTCGTCATATGGAATTCATAGGCTACCTTTGCATCACAACCAATACCTGCGAACAAATCGAAGCACAAAAAGTCATATTAGCTCCGCCAAAAACAAACAGAAATAAACCGAAATGATGATTGAAATACCTAGATAATTCGTCATGAACTTTACTCTGCGCATATTTTCCCCCAGCGCTCCATTTTCTTCCTTGATAGAAACATTCCACCGATCAAGCATTGTGACTGCAGCACGATCTATATCTTGCAGCACAGACAATAATCCACCTTGACTGTCAACAGAAGACAGCCCGCCTCCCCATCGCAAGACTCTAGATAAGTCATTTCCGGTTCCAAGGGGAAGTATAGCCACAGGTGGAGGAGACACAAAGTTTTGCCTCTCGATAGCATCAAGAACCCAAGCCACAGTACCATCTCCTCCACAGACAAGAACTCTAAAGTACTGCACATTGCGAAACAACTCCAAACCAACCTCAGGCCCCTGGGAGGAACTTAGTTCGAATACCTGAAGTCAACCATCAATAAAATCAATGAGGGAAAACCCTGCAGTACTGATCATTAACATGCATGTACTGATCATTAAAAATTTACTTCTTGGCTGGTAAAAGGGAATAATCGATGGCTCTATTTATTGAAGGAATGATGAAAACCCTGCAGTAATTTACAATTACTCAAGAAAGAGAACTTGAATTTTGAAAAATGGTAATGACATATTCTCAAAGGTGATTAACTAAGCAGGTAATTACTTGAATGTTCAACTATGCGTAACAATTCAATTGAATGAATCAAAAAAATTCTATAGGTACCGCAGACAATATGTTACAAAATAAGGAGCATGAAACATTTCACATAGATATTGTATAAAGTACATGAATATCACGAGATGAGCAATAATGTGATGACTCGAACAGTAAAATCAATAAAAGCACTGAAATTAAAATAAGCATGACACAAACCAGTAAGAAGTCACTAACGAATCACACCTCATTAGAATACAAAAAAAGCAGAAACATCAAAACATAATCCTCATAAACAAAGATCCCCTGGCACATACCTGGACAGGATTCAATAGAATATTTAATCTCCGGCGAATAGAAGCCCCATACTGACCACCACTCTTCACATTGACAAAAACAAGCAGTGGCCTTGCATCCTTAGGCAAGTCCACCAGTGTATACTTCTTTGTTGGGTTTACAGAGATACTACGTTCTTTAACACTTGTAAAACTTTTGGCCTGCTTCAAAGTGTACTGGTCATTCTTGAAACACTTTTCCAGAGCAACCAACCAATTTAGCAGCTGTCCAAGGGCTGTGCCAGCGCCAGATTTTTCCTCCAATCTACCATTATGAATGTCAGAGAGAGCAGACTGGGTGGCAATATTTTTGTTGCGTCGCCGCTTTATCATCCGACCTCTAACAGATGAAGCAATGATCTCTTCCTTGATTGAACTCAACACTCCACCAGCTGTCTCTCCCCTACCAATTTCTCGTACATTGAGTGGAGAGAGGATAAGTCGTCTGAGAAGACCTAGGTCACAAATATCACCAGTGTCTTTCAACAGCTTAGCGTGACATTTGACATGAATGGAGTGTTGGCACCATAGGCAATGCCACATAGGCGACGCTCCAAGGATAGGAATGCCGCATGGTTCATCACAGTGATAACAGAAAGATGGCGAGTCTGAGTTCTCATCAAGTTCAACCCATCTTTCCGTCCAATGATGGAGCAAATGAGTTGCACCGGCTTGTGATATACATTTGCAGTCTTTGGCAGCATATGGAGAACAATGATAATGGACTGCAGACCCACACACAGAACAACGAAGAAGAGGGGCGCTGCCTGCAACTTTCGATCCTAGTGATGCTGGGGAAACCAATGAATTTAGGCAAACGCAACATGTAGATGGCTGTCCACATAGAGAAAAATCTTCTGTCCATGTGTGGCGCGAAATAGGAAAATTTAACTTCTTCCAAACCCTTTTCTTTGCTCTAGCAGCAGCCTTAATCCAATTGACGGATGTCTCTCTCTGCCACTTCAGGAATGCATAAATTACTACTATCAGAGCAAAGGATCCAAAGATCAGCATCCCTATAAAGAGAGGGCGGGTCCCAACCATCTTACTAACAGGATCAAACGATGAGTAGCTCTGATCCATTACTAGATGGTCGTCCAAAATTTTATTTTTAAGAGCCAAAGCTGCAAAAGAAAAGATAGAAAAATGAATCAGTGGTGAAAGAGGAAATACAAAAGATTGTCTAGAAATTTGTTTATCCTATTATTTTGCCTTCTGAGAAGCAGAGAGTTTGATGTTAAAATATAACTGCAATTTCAGTCACAACATAAGAATCCAACTAAAATTGAGAAAATGAAGATGCATATGGATATTCTGATCAGATGAACTGAAGACAGTGGCATTGTCATCGCCTAAAAATCATATTTTCTTTAATGAAATGTTAAGAAATATTCTTATTCCATATCTAAGAAACCTTTTACCGATTGGGCAAGGTTTATGGTTGACTAATTTGTTGATGCGAACCGATACTCTTTATCTCATCATAGAAATTATACTATAAAGGATAAAGATTAAGAGCCAGGACTCCCTCTAATCACCTTCCATTAGATAATATTGAAGTGAATCAAATAACTGATCCATTCTGAATCTTCAATTTCCAATCCTCAATCAAATTAAAACCACGAAATAAATTATCAAAGATTTCAATTGCAACTTCGCACTTCGGGTACTTATTTTAAGCTATTAAAATAGGGTACACAATTTGCACTTCCACAACTTTAAGATTGGAAACCAAGTTGAGCTCTGATGGAGACTCTTGGGGCATTCTTTTTCTTGAAAGGAAACCAAGCGTACAGTTTGGACTCCCACTTTTCAAAAATTACATAAGTTTTAAAGCTAATAAGATATAAGAGATGAAAAAGGAGCGAGCAAAGCAGCGAAGAACAGATGCAGTTGCCCAAATACAACGAAAACAAAGCAAAATGACAAATTCCTGGAGAAATTTCCTGAGACAGAACCCAAGTCTAACTCAATTCGAGATAGGAAGTAAAGAATAACAAAATTCGAGAGATGGGAAAGCAAGAGACGATCAATCTGATGTCAAAACGGAGAATTACGAAGAGAATCTACTTGGGACGACAGGGTACGGAAAAAAAATACGAACAGGTTGACAGATCACACACCCGGTCAGTCGGCTAGACATATCCGATCCGTCATTAAGAGAAACAAACATAATTGGCCTCTTTGATCGCAGACAAAGTTAACGGACAGAACGTGAAGGATCACCTAGAGGCTATCAACCTCGGAGCAGAATCCTAAGAGTTGATCTCTTCCACACCTCCTCCAACGCTTTCCCTTCCTCTCCCCAGGCTTTCTTGACCGCAAAGGCTACAGAGAGAGAGACACGCTTCTTTTCTGCCGCCGTTCCCCCCGTATTCCGCCGCTACTGCTCCTCTTCATGCCAATGGGGGGGCAAGGAACATTCAGATTCGCTGCCAATTCCTGCCGGCAAATAAAGCCCCTCGTCGGCAGCATGAAAGCCAGCTGGGCCACCATTAGAGAGAGAGAGAGAGAGAAAGAGAAAGCCGGCGCTTTTTGAAACCTGGGAGAGGGAGGAGGGGTGCTTCCCCTTTCCTTCCCCAAGACTTTCTATCTTCCCCTTCAAAATTCTAACACCGAGTCAAATGCCGAGGGCGGACTCGGCCCGCGTCAGACTCGGACTCGGAGTCAACGGGCGTTGAGACGGGCAACGACCGCCAATAAATGGAATCCCGGAGTCTCACCCACACGCCACGCCAGGACCAAACAAACCTTTAGAAGAACCCGAGATTCAAACGCCCCTGCCGAGAACTCGGCCCGGCTCGTTGGAGCGGCCGACTCGACTTAAGAGGTCAGACGGGCAGGAAGTCAAAGCCTAGGGATCCGGAGTCATGTGACGACGAATGAACACCTCCCTCCCCATTTCCACTGCATCCGCCGGGAAGAAATGGAAGAACTAAGCGTCTTTCTCGGAGTCCCAGAAGAGATTTCGTGAGCAATGAGTTAAGATGCCCACCGAGCTCGCCGGTCGCGTCTTCATCGATCAAATGAAAGAAGCGAAAGATCTTGGTTGGCAGGGTGGCTGACTGGTCCTCTGATTTGCTCGGATTGCTGAGATCACGGGCATAATTAATAATCCAATAAAATTAGTCGTAAGATCTGAGAATGGTTTTAATATTATTTCTTAAAGTTGCCCGCTTTATTCCAGGATTTGATCTCATGAAATCTGGGAGTGTCAATGAGCTAGACGATTCCCGAGTCCTGCCTAACCCAGCCTAATCCAGTCAGGGATTGTTAATATTATTTCTCTCTCTCTCTCTCTTCCTAGGGAGCTCCCCCGACCTCACTCTCCCTCCCAAGAAACACCCAACTCGCCTGCCCCATCTACCCCAGGAACTGTCCAGACAAGAAGATCAAGCCTGCAGCCAAGTTTTCTTTCGGCCTTGGCACCGCCCCAGGTCAGAGACCACCCCAGTTGAGGTCTTCGAGAGTCGCATTGACGTCAACGTCGCTGTTCGGCGACGAGTGAAGACAAGCGAACCTGGAGGAGGGAAAGAGACCTGTGGGGCAATTGACTCGCCGTCCGGAATGACGGCGAAGGTCTAGAGTGAGGCCCCCAGCATGGAGGACTTTGCTGCCGGCGGCGAGGTTCTCTAAGAGCTGGACATGGCGGGGGGGAGGCTTGTCCCCGAGCCACCCGCAGGGCCCCCCCGGAGCTGTAATGAAGCCGTGCCGGTTATACGTCCACATCGGGGGCGGCCCCTCTCTTCACATGGCCCAGTGGTCGCTACAGCTCGGGCTTCGGCTGAGTTATTGCAGATCCCTCGCAGTAATCCGGCACGATTTAGGTCTTCTTCATGGGCCGTAAGAAGAGCCCTCGCAGATCGTCTGTCAGCGCCATGCAAAGCGGCCGCCGTGTTCGGCAAGACGAGAGTTCTCGGTGGGCAGCTTGCCGGCCACCGGCGAGGCGTAGGAAGGTCACATGGCGTGGTGTTGATCGCGCCGGCAACGATGCTGTAGAGGAGGTGGAGTGGGTCACCATTTTTCACTGCTCTCAACAGGAGCAGTACTACTACTCCCCGTAGATATGCTGTAAAGACATTAGGTCGGAGGGTCTCTCCAAGCGGCGGGAATTGGGTTCGACGGCGATCCCCGGCCGGAGAGCCGTTGGCTCCCTTGGGGAATCAGATCGTCGTCCTCTTTCCATCCATTAAAGAGACGGAGGGAAAGACCAAGGTAACAGACCACGGGGGAGGGAAGGAACAGAAGGTGGGAAGGACGTGAATATTGGCCGTACAGCTTCGAGTCCCGCTTTATTCTCATTCACCAGAACAGCTCAGAACGCCATTAATAAGGGGGTGCAGGAGGAGGAGGGGATGAGAGCCTGGTCCCCTGTCTGGAGAGTAAAAGCCTGCACAGGCTCCGGGGGAGGAATGAGGAGGATGAAGACGGGACGACACGGGCTATGGGCATTGCATGGAGGGGTCCCTCTCAGCAGTCCAATCTCCTTCATGCCCCCATCTTCTTCACGTGGACTTACGCTTGCCTTGCTCCTCAGCGCCAGGTTCTGACTGTTCTTCGCCATCTTTAAAGATGGATAAGTATTGATGTTGCAACGCTCGCCCTTCAACAGTAACATTCTTTTTTATTTAATAATTTCATCATTCAGGATCAGCGCCCTGATCTCGTTCAGTCGCGAACAGGCGATAAAGGGGAAGGATGAGTCCGTCCTTTGCCCCCCGGTGACCGTCCGATTAAACTCAGGAGGACGAGAAGCATCAATTGCCCCTGTTCCAGAGGAAACCCGGCGGTTTTGCTAAACGCCAGACTCTCCGGGAGTCTCGTGAACCCCCTTATATCACTCGTCAGGTTTAGGGTTCCTCTCTCTCTCTCTCTCTCTCTCTCTCTCTCTCTCTCTCTCTCGATCCTTTATCTCTATGACAGAGAGTGTACCCCCCTTCTCAAGGTACACCTTTCCCCACCCGCTTGCCCTTCCCACCCTTTTGTCTCCTAAGGCCGTACCGAAAGGCTGGAAGTAAAGAAGATGCGGATCACTTACGCATAGTTAAAACTGGGTGGGGAGAGCAGGAGGCGACAAAAGTCAGCGTGGTCACCCGCTTCATTTGTAACTTGGGTTGCTTCCCCTCACCCCTGGAAGCTTCTGCGTGCCCCCCGTCGAGGTGAGCCGAAGATAGTGACATCCGCCACCATCTTCAGGGAACCGTCCACTACCCTCTCTGGCTTGTTGCGTTCGCGGGTTTCGGACTTCTTCTTCACTACACCCCATTGGTGGAAGCAGAAATGGTGCCGTTTTAAGGTTGAGCCACCTCAGGTTGGACGTGGATGCATTGACTCTCTCTCTCTCTCGCTTTCCTCTCTGTAACTAGCAAGTTTCCTCCGGGAAAACGATACGTAGGTCATGAAATGGTTCAGGGAATTTGGAGTCGTTGCCCGTACTTCATCTCCTAATCCAACTGGCTACTCTAATTTCCTCGTTGGGCCATGAACATGGAGAAGAACAAATATGAGCATGCCGCTTGATATACATCAGCTACTAGCGTGGTCTCACTAGCTTTCCAGAGTTATAAAGGGAAAGCAGTACGCTGAGTCTGAATTGGTCCACGGGGGTTTCCTCTTCAGGCAATCGTCTTTCGAGGGTAGGAATGATGGCGGCCAACCCGTCCACTGCTCCCTCAGTTTCACTAGCTTGGCTCCAACAGTGGCTTCCCTCTGTCGATCGGCCCTAGTTCTTTTGTCCGGTCCGAGAGGATACGGCAGCCTACGACCAGGCGATGAACAGGGTGGATGCCTCTGGACATCCCCTCCGACGACCATAGACCTTCGGATCTCGTTGACCCGTTTGGATTTCTCCACTGAACTTCACTCCTTCTCAGGAAGCCTATGATACAACTCTCTCCCCGCTTCAGAAAGGTCGACGACGGTTTCGAGCAGCTCATCGATTCCGGTCCTGTTTATTCCGGAAGCAACTATTGTGACTGCTCTGACTGCATCTACCTGCATGGGCTTAGTCCGCTTCAGTCGCCATTCGGCGTTCAACGGAGTTCGTCCGTGTCGCCATTTAATGCTACTCGGTCTCCCCTCCGGCTCGCGTCACGTAGATACTATAGACTGCGAGCTTGGTTTATCGCCGATTCACCGCAGTCGGTGCTGTGCCGGTCGCTGTCGAGGCCACACGCCGGCAGGTCCATCGCCTTCGATAGCCCCTTGGGATGGAGCGCTGTTCACCGCGGATGGGCCACTTCTATCAATCCGAGATCGGAGCTTCCTCTGAGCGAGCGCGCCCGCTATTTATTCCTCTTGTTTTCTGGTTGTTCCTGTGGGGCTGGGAGGAGTTGAATTGTTCTTGTCAAGGAATTGATGGCGGGGGATTTAGGGTGAGGGACTGCAAGAACATATATTTATAGATTCTAAGAAATATATGTGGATATAAATACGTGACTATATTAAATGCCTGGTCATCGCGTTTATTATGGTGAATATTTTGTTTGGGAAATGGGGAAGAGACGGGTGGTGAATCGGATGGGTCGCCCTAAAACAAACGCCGATGGATACAGCAAAGCTGCGCAGCAGCCCCTCGAGTAGACGAGACAATAACATGTGGAGGAGGGGTCAAATCATGACATGCTCATATGACCACGAGTTGCTTTCCCCTCCGATGGCCCGAGATAGGGATAGAGATAGATGGAGAGAGAGAGAGAGAGAGAGAGAGAGAGAGGGAGGGAGGGAGAGGTGAAATAGATTGATAGATAGAAAGATACATAGATAGATAGAGAGAGAGACAGAGAGAGAGAGAGAGAGAGAGGTAGTAGAATCGGGTTACCCCGTGGCAAGACCACTATAAATTACTGGGAACCTCTCTTGTTTCTTGCCGTTCTCACTCACCACCATCTTTCAGTGAACCTCACTTTTGGGTTTCTCCCTTTCTCGCGTGCGCCCGTCCGGTTAATTAACTCTCTGTGTGTGCTCAGATTAGTCAGAGAAAACGAGAGAGCGGAGGAGTTCTGGAAGAATCGAAAAGGCGGAGAAGAAGGCGGAGGGAAGGGACGGAGGGAGAGAGCGAGTCACACAGTGAGAGAGAGAGAGAGAGAGAGAGAGAGAGAGAGAGAGAGGAGGGAAAAGGCCAAACTCGTCGTCCTCGGATCGGAAGAACCTCCAAAGTGAGCCATCTTATTCTACTCTTCACTTCTCTTCTTCGTCCCCCTCTCCAACCCCATCAGCAAGTTCAAAGAATAAGAGTGTGAATTGTTCAAGACGAGTGCAACTTCTTGTAGAGATTTGTTGCAAAATACCTCCTTTCCCCGAACTACTACACCAACTAGAGCGAGAAGTAGACGTAGAAGGCAGATGGGCATCTACTGTTTTCTTCCCCTTTTTCTGCTCCTTTTTTTCTGGAAAATCAGAAGATCGGATCAGATCGAAGGAGACAACCAGAAAAAAGAAAGTCCGTTGGTCCAACGATTTGTCCTGTATCCTTCTTTTTTACTTCCCATTTCTATATCTTTCCGATGAACTCAACTGTCTGCACGTCCCTTCACGTCAATTAGAATTTCCTTTCACTGGCCCACAAACCTCGATCGATTCAAAGCTCCCCAGGATGCAATCCGGAAGAGATCTTTCTCTGCACATAACCACAGTTTCCACAATTAGTCTCGGAGGGAAGAAGGAAACGAGAAGCTTCTTGTGATCTCCTCCATCCCGGATAATCTCCGTTATGAAAAGAAAAATTAGCCTACCGTGCAGAAGTTCGTATCCCTTCGAATTACGTCCAAAAGTGTGTGATCAGGTGTCTTCTATGGCGTAATCTCCTTGTAAAACCATGACCGTCACTCGCCGATTCACCGACATCTCTCATTCTCCGCTACCCCCTTCCAAGTTTCTTCTCTCCACTTTGGGCGATTTATGTGTTAGAGAGCGAGCGAGTGTAAAGAGGAAGAAGCCGTAGTTTGTTAACAGTTTGATCCAAGTACTGGACACTCGACTTTTTCCTTCACCTATCTATTACATCGAATGTAAACCGGGAGACTTTCATCCGTTCATCTGCTCCTCACGCCCCTCCCCGTTTATACCAGTAAGATTAATCTTTTCCCGTCGAAAAATCCGCGTCTTCCTCTAAGTTTTCGGATATCGTTTGCCTTCACACCCGTCAAATCCAGAAAGTCGAATGAGGAGGGAGATCTTACTGTTCGAAGGATTCTTCTCTTCTGGACAGGAACCCAGCGGGCGACCGCCTTCGCTGATTTGACCAAAGATGACGACATCATCATCGGCGGGGACGCCGGTGACGTCGACGTCGTCGACGAGCTCCCCCTGCGCGGCTTGCAAGTTCCTGCGGCGCAAGTGCCAGCCAGACTGCGTCTTCGCGCCCTACTTCCCGCCCGATCAGCCGCAGAAATTCGCACACGTGCACAAGGTCTTCGGGGCGAGCAACGTCACCAAGCTTCTCAACGAGCTTACTCCCTACCAGAGAGAGGATGCGGTCAACTCCCTGGCCTACGAGGCCGAGATGCGCCTCCGCGACCCAGTTTACGGCTGCGTCGGTGTCATCTCCATCCTCCAGCACCAGCTTCGCCAACTGGAGATGGACCTCACTTGCGCCAAGTCCGAACTGTCCAAGTACCAGGCCACCACGACGACCACCCTCGGCCATGGCTTGCTAAATGTGAACATCAACCACCCGATAGGCATCGGAGGGATCGGACTTGGAAGGGAACAGTTCTTCTCCGCCACTCCTGCCAGAGAGCACCACCACCACCACCACCACATGGCCGCGAGGAGCTACGACGCAGATATGGGAGGAAGGCTTGGAGGGAGTGGGTCATACGACACGGGGTTCATGGCTGGGATGAACATGTCGGCGGGTCTCGGAGCTCTGGGAAGTCAGTTCAATAAGCCGAGGGCTGCAGGTGGAGACGAGAGGCAGACAATCGGACCTTCTTAGCTCATCCACGGAGATAGCTTTCATCGCCGGTCAGTTCTTTTCTTCTTGTTTCTTTCCCCCCTGCCGTCGTCTTCCGTCCCGGTGTTCATTGCTCGACCGTAGGAACTAATGCGACCCATCCCATCGTTTAATGTAATCAATATAGCACGATGTTCACTCGAACCCGTTCGTTAAAAACAGTCCCTTGACAGAGGAAGCTTACCCGCCTGGCTTTCTGGATTTCTCTTCCACAAGACGAATGTAATGCTTATCTCAGACCATCGCAGTGTAATTGGTCTATAGACTTGAAAAATGGGGAGGAATCAGGTTCTATAGTTCTTTTTTCTTGTTCAAGTTGAATTAGAGAACTTCAACAGAGAATCTAAATGTGAACGAACTCAGAAACAGCACATATAGGGTTAAGAAACCATATCTCAACTGTTTCCAGCTTCCCGGTTTTTCGTTCCCTCAGAATAACTCGCTGCTCTAAACTCGACTGGCTTGCCTGGCGCAGGGAGTAAGTATTTCTTGGTCATTGCACCAAATATCGTCAGACATATAGGGTTGGTCATTGCTCTCTATAGTGCGTGCTAAGATTATAAGGTCGAACCACGAGAGTATCATCACATATGGACTGAAGAAACTCATCAGCTTGCATTTTCCATACAATCCTTTTGCCGAGGATTATTCTAGCATTGAACACTTTTGGTCTCACTTTTGTTATCGCAGTGAGAGATTTCTCGGACCCATTTTCGTTATCTTCCAGGCATTCGGTCTATTTTTCTCCTACATCTTTCTGATAGGATCGCCATTTTCGTTCGCTTTTTGCAGGTTGAAGGGGGATGGATAACGCGAGAGCTCTATTCGCCCTCGTTGAATCGACATTACTTCATCGTCGTCTTCTCCACCACCACCATTAGAGTCTATTTTATTCCTTCTTGTGGATTCCATATTTATGAAACTAGAGAAGTTGGATGTCTGGTGTTCTCCCGTTCTCTCTGAGTTAAGAATATCACTTGTAGCATGTGCTTGCCTGATCTTAAATACTTACCACTTTCTTCCCACAAGTTCACCAAACCCTACGTTTCTCCTGATTACAAAAGTTCAAAAATCTATCTTACTCTACGGATGGATGGGTTTTCTTTATATGCATACGCGAAGTCCACGCGCCAGATTACGATAGCTTCCGATTTCTCCCACAAAGTCCTCCAAACCGAGAGATCGGTTACATCCCCGGCCATGGTACACAACTGGGAGATATTGAAATTATAAAGAACTCGTCTTTATTAGAAAATGAGGATCTGGTTGGATGTAGGTAGTCAAGTCGCTTGAGGTGAGATCTGTTAGCGAGTCTCACATGCTTCACCCTCTATAAGTTAATCTTACGCAATTTTCATTTGCTACATCGATGTTCTCCAGGGATTAAACATCGCTTATTATCTGGAAAGAAAGCCTACAAAGCCCATTCATTTATCTGGGTCATTTCCCCTCCATCCAACACCTACATACAAGAAACCAGAGGTGAGATTTATTGTTTTCTTTCCTTATCGGGGAGGGGAGGAGAAACTCTGTCGGCAACGTATTTTGATACCCTAGAAGATGCCCTTCACATCGCCACCAACCCCTTCTGCCTTCTACAAGTAGGAAGAGCATTTCACTGCGTGACAGTCCGCACCATAAAAGAGGTATCAAGCTCCATGAGTTTCAGAGACGAAGAAGACTGATGGCTAAAGCTTGAAGAAACTCTTCCAGGGGGAAACGAGGGCCTTTCCTCTTTTTCTTTGTTTGGATATCCTGGTTCTCGGGGAGAAGTCAATGGTTCAGAAGCCTGGAGGACAGCGGGCCCCCATGGAATCGAAGGAGCAAAAAAAAAAAACTAGTATTACCTTCTGCAGGTTAATCATGTCCTGTGTGTCCGTTCTTGAAGAATTTAATGCAGGAATTGGAGAGATGCAGGGAGCATTTCTTGCAGAGGGAGTAGAAGACAAACCCAACGAGAGAAAAGGCTGCAGCTTGGCCTGTTGTAGAGGGGGGCAAAACGTGGACGAGCCAGCTTGATAAGAAAGAACGATGATGCTTGGGCGCCGCCCAGCAGTGGCCG